GAGGCGCCAAATGAAAACACGTGATGCCCGAGCAATTGGTGGGCAACAAAGCTCCAGCTTTGAGTTATGGCCAAACGCAATGGCGTTCACAAACAAAAGGAAAAGGAGGAGGAGGAGGAAGGGGAGGAGGAGGAGGAAGGGGAGCAGGAGGAGCTCCACTGAATCCACTCCCGGACACCCAGACACCCGGACACCGGAAGGCAACCCACTGGCCACGTTTGCATTTCAATTGACTTTCCGTGAGCTTCGCTCTCCACATCCACGTCCACGTCCTTGTCGTCTTCTTCGTCCTTCGCTCGCCGCAACTCTGCATTTTTCACGATAAAATCATAAATCAGCGCTGAATCAGGTAAATAAAAATAATGCTCAAACTCTGTATGCAAATTGAACCGAGAGTCGGAGCAGCGGCGACTTATTCGCCGAGATTTGACTGTGCAAAAATATGATAAAACTTGAGTCAGTCAAAAAACTTTCCAACTCGGGCCAAAAAAACTTAGATTTGCTTATGGGAATGGGAACATTTTTGAATAATATTGTTGAAGACAACGATGGATTTTTTCGTAAAACTTTTCCAGTTTCACAAGAGTTACAGACAGAGGTAAACGCAAAATGGCTCAGCAATCAGACTATGTTAATTAAGCAGTGCACTAAAGGGCATAGCAAATGATTCAGAACGAGAAATAGCAAACCAAAGGGGGTAATGTCCCCATACAGGACTCAGCAAAACTTGGGCTCAATCCATCTGAGCGAATAAAAAGCAAAGGACCAATCTGAAATCTAATTAACAAGACATAGATTAAAGGAATCGTTCAGTGGTCGTTGGTTAAGTAATTCTCACAGATCATCTGGTAATCAAATTCAAATACTCATTTCCGGTTTAACAAATTAGTCTTCTTGATCTGAGCCAATTTAAACTTCAATATAAAGAAAATATTTTTTTCCAATAAAACTGTCATTAATATTAAATCTTTTTAGCAATATTTTATTTCATGGAGGATTAGGTTTAAGGCATAGATCATATACAATATTTATAATTTATTTCTGAGAATTTCGAGCATATCGAATTGAGGTTCCCGCACATCAAGTCGAAATCATACCATACCATTTATGTTGGGTGTATGTGATCCCAAAATCCTGTTGACTGGTGTAATTGGCGTTCACTGCCACCACAACACATGCATGCCCTGCTGAGATTGGCCTGCGCTTTATTACTTCAAAAATGCGGCATTCGGCCTGGCCAATATGCTCAAAGGGATCGATCGTATCGAGTTGATGCCGGCGATGATGGCGCATCGCTGACCAATTATACGGCTTTGAGGGCATCATTCGGCATTGGCCCGTTCCGCTCAGTTCTGTTCCGTTTCGTTCCCCAGGCGTCGACTCGTTAAGTATCCGCAAAGCATGCAATCTCTGCCAGTTGCTGGAATTCGGCTTTGTGGCACACAAAACTGCATTCAAATCGTTGTGGTTACGGCTGCCCAGTTGCCTGTATGTCTGGCTGCCATGGCAATTTGGCCATTGCAGGCATCGTCTTAAAGTAGGCCCAGTTTATTAATTAACACAACCGCAGCCAGCTCAGATTCCGGCTTTGAATCCAACATTCTGCATCCTACATCCTGCAGAGACGACGCCTGACCGCACTTGGTTCGATTCCATCTGGTTGGTAACCAGGAACTCGTATGCATATTGAAGTGCGATTGCCTGGCTTTGAGAAGGCACCTCTCTGCTGCATCAATTATGGGCATTTCAAAAGTGTTTGCAACCATTTTCCAAATGTTCAGCAGGCTAAACAAAAGCCGGCACCTCACCCATCACCAGCTGGCCCCATGGAAACCGTTTGGCAAAGCCTATTGAGAGCTCTGTGCTTATCTTCACCGGACTGGTCAAGGGCTAATAGGTATCGATTCGGCAACACCTGCTTGCAGGACATGGAGTACTTGTAAACATTTACACTATGATTTGTTATACACAAAGGGAGAGTGTTGGATATAGAGAATAATCTTATGTTAAAAATTTTGACTTATATTTGTAGTTGAAGAATATATGTATGGAGATTTTCCGATTTTATACACATTATAACCTGCACTCATAGAAATTTTTACCCTAAATCGCCCTAAAAAACTGACTTTTCGCCCGTGGATTTAGAAAATCGCCCATAAATCGTATCCGCTGGCGATTCGCCCGTGTATTTAGAAAAATTTTCTAAAAAATCCCGATGGAAATTTGGTTTAATTTAGGGTGATTTTTCTTGAAATAAGAAATATTTTCCTGTTTTTAGGGTCATTTGCCCTAATTTTAAGGTGTATTTTTCTAAAATTAAGGGCGAATTTTCTGATTTTATAGGCAAATGCCCTAAAAAATTAGACAAATTAAAAAAAATCGTGTTTGAGCATGCTTAACTGAATTTGGGAAGCATGTTTTTTTTAATCGTCTATATTCTGGGACTGCTGCTTTAATTAAACAACACCGGCGGAGGACACCGTTTCATATTATTGTATTGGTGTGTAGCTTATATGGGAGCTGCGTTAAGAGGGGGGCCCGATCTATACAACACAGCCGTTAGAACTGAAAAATCATGTTTGTAAACGAATTAGGGAAATAAATATGAGGAGAAAAAACAACTTACTTTTTTTGGTCGTTGCGAGAATCGAACCCACGACCTCTCGGTTTAGAGTCTAGCGTCCTACCGCTGCACCACAGACCCATCGCGCAAGACAACGAACAAACTCTGCAGACATCTTATTTTCTTGAGGTCTACGTTATATTTTGACTAAAGGCAACTAAACCGTATATTTTTTTCCTGACGATTGTGACAATTAGTCCCGTTTTCTTGCCAGCAAACACAAAGATGCTTTTAACTCAGAACTCCCATACGTTTTTAAGGTTTAAAGACTACTTTAATTTAAAATTCGGACGAAAAAATGTCCTTAGTATTATAACGTTTACAAAAAAAAAAAAATAAATAAAAATCAAGTTGAATCACACAGGGTTCGAACCCACAACCCCACGACCTTAGTCCTCATATAGCAAAGTTGAAAGCGCAAGTGATTAGACCGCTGGGCTACCGAATTTCACACTTTTGGAGTGATTTTTAAGGCGAATCGCCCTTGTATTTAGACAAATTTTAGAAAAAAAATTAGGGCAATTCGCCGTTGGATTTAGAAAAGGTCAAATCGAAGCAAATCGAAAAAATCGCCCTAATTATTAGAAAAATAGAAAAATTAACCCTAAAAATATTTTTTTATGGTCACCTGCCTTGAATTTATGGCAAAATTGTCGTGAAAATAGAAAATTTTTCTCAGTTCAAAGGCGAAAATTTTTTTAGGGCAATTTTCTAAAATGTAGAAAATTATTTTTATGAGTGTGATCAATAAATTACCTAAATATTGAGTAGTAATTAAAAAAAAAACATTTAAAGCAGCTTGAAGGTGTATTGCAATTAATGTTTTTTCCTGATTGCGGTTTGAAATTTCTGCTGCACATATAGAGACTAGAAGGTATGGCTCTAATTATGGAGTATGGCTCCGGGGCCCAGGACCTCCTTTCAGTTGGCTTCCTTCTCAAAGGCACACACGCCCCGCATCATTTAAAAGTTATTAAGCACAAATGCAAACAGACGAAGGCAGTGTTCGAGTTGTCTCGAAACCTTGGTTGTGTTTATCAAACTCGTGTGACGTAGATAAATATGCACTGGGTGCATGACGAAGAGGGAAGTGGGGTTGGAGTCCCGGCAGGATTCAAGCGGAAATGTAGCTACACAGATAAAAACAAACCCAGATGTAAACTAGATATTTATATTTAAACTATAAAAAGTGTTAAAAATAAAGTATTTACACTGTACATTTTAAAAAATTTTAGATTTAAAAAGTTCTTAGTAAAAACCAAATTTTGTTTAATACTATTGCAAAATAGTTATATTAGTATTATTGTTATTAAATGTAGTACTTATACAATTCTAATTTATTTTTTCTATTTCTATTTATTCTTTTTATTTTTATTTATTATTTTATTTTTTCTGTGTACCCAAACAGAGACACTTATAGGAAAGGCACACACCCACACACTCACAGCACAGCACACGCACATATGCAGAGCGAAGTCAATAAATTCTCATTTCGCTGGATGCGTGGAATATTTCACCTGCAAACAAAGTGTGCTCTTCGCTACTCTGCTCTCCGCAGACGCAATAATAAATACAAATAAAAACATGACGCATAAAGATTACAGCCACCGCAAGCTAACGTGGTAGCGAAAGGAGCCAACTCATCCAGGACCTTCTCTACTCGGCTAGAACACCACACACCAGCACAATCACCATCACCATCGCCATTCCATCCGTAGCCACACTCTCAATCCAATCTATATTAAGTATACGCACCGTTTGAACCATGCATTTTAATGATGTCTCCGTTGCCCCTGGCTCATGGCTCGTCACCTAATCTTTCGCCCGAACTCCTGGCCTCTCACCCTCATATCCACCTGCTGTGACGACGTAAATGTTCATTTATTTTAATTAGTATTGAGCTGGGTTGTCCTCGCACTGGCGGCTTCGATAGATCAAGGTAGCTGGATTTTACGCAGCACAGGGCCAATATCGCCAAACATGTTGTACACTGTAAAAAAAACGTTGATGATTTTGTTTTTATGGAAAATAAAATTAGATTTTATTCAAATTTTCGAAATATTACACAATACTTTCTAATACTAATTTACACACTATTTCTCATTGTGAACTATCCACTGGGATATCTTTTGATTCCCATTTTAAGAAATAAAATTTAAAACAAATATTAAATGTGCAGTATAATTTATTATTACAATAAAAAGTTCGAAAAACTATACTTTCGATATATTTTTTTAAAAACTATCTGACAGCCAAGTTAGGTTATGTAATTATCGATATCACCCATCGATATCAGGTCACAAGTGTCATCACCAATAAGCAATCCACGTTTTTTGACCACAACAAAACTGTGTAAAATCCCAATAAGTAATATAAAATGTCCCAAGGTGAGCAGGATCACAACGAGGTTAACCAGGTGGAGAAAGATCAACTCATGGATCAGAACGAGAAGGCAGCAGGATCGGCGGAAAACTTGAAGACCTTACTTGGAGCCCTAAAACTGGTGCCCAGAGTCCCGACGCCGGAAATCCAGGTGGCGGATACAAATATTGACTGCTCCTTGTTAACTAAAAATAATGAAGACGATTCTGGAAATGGTCCGGAAATTAAGCAGGAGGAAACAAGTAGTGAATGCTCCTGGTTAACGGTGAATAGTGAGGACACAAGTAGTGAATGCTCCTGGTTAACAATAAATAGTGAAGACACTTCCTTTGTTAATGTGCCCAATCCAGAAGGGGTATCTATACCATCCCAGGAGAAGATTCAAAATCACTCCAAGATTTCCGAAAACGCCGAAAAGGAAATGTCGATTTCTCCACAGAGTCTGGATTTTTCACCGCTTCAAAATGATATTTTTCCTGAGGAGGACATACAAAAAAATCAGGAAATGAAGGGGAGCTTCGATTATCCCATCTTGGAGTCAAATAAACTCGCTAAAACGATTGGCAGCGATACCCTCTTAGAGGACGACAAAAGCAAAGAACGTTTGCTTAGATTGGTAAAATGTGAGATAAAAGATGAAATACCTATTTATGATGAAGACAACGACAATTTTCCTAATTCCGATGTGGAAATGCCATTTTCCAAACCTCCCCAGAAAAATATTCCCAAAACTTTAACGATCTTCAACAATGCTAATAGCAGTGGGGATATATCCAAAGCTGAAAAATATAGGCCTCAGGAAATTCCAGGGAACCAAGCCTCAATATCAGAAGCTGAAGATCAAACCGCTGATCCCAAAGTGGGAATACCATTCTCCCCACCTTCCCAGGAGAATGTTGAAGAGGATACCACGATCATAAAAAATGCTAATAGCAGTGTAGATATTTTTTCACCGCCTCGGAATATTTCAGAGACCCAATCTTCAACACTAGAAGCTGGCAAGGATACCGCTAATCCCGAAGTGAAAATATCAATTCCCACAGCTTCACAAGAGAATGTTCAAGAAGCTTCAACGGTCTTTAACAATGCTTACAGCCGAGGGGCTATTCCCAAAACTGGAAAATCCATTTTTTCGCCGCCTCAGGAAATATTAGAAACCCAATCCTCAACAATAGAAGATGGCGGAATAACCACTAATCCCGAAGCGGGAATATCATTCTCCTCATCTTTCCAAGAGACTTTCCAAGAAGATACCACGACCTTCGAAAATGGTAATGGCAGTAGGGTTATTTCAAAAACTAAAAAAACAATTTTTTCGCCGCCTCAGGAAGTTTTAGAAACCCAATCCTCAACAATAGAAGAAGGCGGAATTACCACTGATCCCGAAGCGGGAATATCATTCCCCTCATCTTTCCAAGATAATAGTCAAGAAGATAGCACGCCCTTTGAAAATGTTAATAGCAGTGGGGCTATTTCAAAAACTGGAAAATCGATTTTTTCGCCGCCTCAGGAAATTTTAGAAACCCAATCCTCAACAATAGAAGATGGCGGAATAACCACTGATCCCGAAGCGGGAATATCATTCCCCTCATCTTTCCAAAAGAATAATCAAGAAGATAAAAATGTTAATAGCAGTGGGACCATTTCAAAAACTGGAAAATCGATTTTTTCGCCGCCTCAGGAAATTTTAGAAACCCAATCCTCAACAATAGAAGATGGCGGAATAACCACTGATCCCCAAGCGGGAATATCATTCTCCTCATCTTTCCAAGATAATAGTCAAGAAGATACCGCGACCTACAAAAATGTTAATAGCAGTGGGGCCATTCCAAAAAAAGGAAAATCCATTTTTTCGCAGCCTCAGAAAACTTTAGAAACCTCGTCCATCGAACGACAGAAAGAGTTAAAAAAGATGGAAGTTAACGACGATATATACTACATAAAACGCGATGATGGCTCCGTTCACGAAGGACGCTTGCTTAAATTCCGAAAATCGGAAAACCCAGTAATGCCAGACGAGTACTACGTGCGTTATATTGGCTTCAATAAAAAACTGGATGCATGGGTGGGTGTTCATCGTATATCGGACAAGGCGGAAGACTTAGGAGGTCTTAAAGCGGGCCAGATGAAAAACACACCGTCCGCATATCGGTTGCAGAAAAGGAAAAACAAAGAGCAGGAGTACCAACCCATGAAGAACATTGAAAGAGTGCAGTTTGGACGTTACGAGATTGAGACCTGGTACTTTAGTCCCTATCCTAAAGAATACGGCAAGGCGTCGATCATCTACGTGTGCGAATTCTGCCTTAAGTATATGAAGTTGCGCAAAAGCTACGCCTACCACCTATCCGACTGCAAGAAGAGGACTCCGCCGGGCTCTTTAATATACCAAAAGGACGATATCTATATCTACGAGGTAGATGGCAACGAGCAGAAGCTCTACTGCCAGTGTCTCGAGCTGTTTTCCAAACTATTTCTGGAAAACAAGGACTTTTTCTACGACCCAAGTCCGTTCTTCTTTTACATTATGTGCGTGAAGGACCAGGATGGCCAGCATTTTGTTGGCTACTTCGCCAGGGATAGAGATTCGGAGGATAACTTCAACGTGGCCTGCATCCTTGTCTTACCGCCCCATCAGCGTAAGGGCTACGGTAAGCTGCTGATCGCCCTTAGCTACGAGATCTCTCGCAGGGAGGGATTCATCGGCGGTCCGGAGAAGCCGCTCTCGGCCTTTGGAAGGCTTTGTTATCGCGGCTATTGGGGCTACACCCTCCTCGAACTATTAAGGAACCACTCTTCGCCAGAGCCGATAACCATCAGAGAGCTGAGCGAAACAACTGGCTTCTTGAAGGAGGACATCCTTTACACTTTAAAAGTCATGAAGATGATCAAGTACTATGGAGATGATTACTTGGTTTGTACGATGCGTGAGATAATCGAAGAACGTCTCAAGCTGCCGCAGTTAAGAAAGCCAAAGCTGACTATCGACCCCAAGTGCTTCTTGTGGAAGGCAAAAACCTAACTAGACCATATACTTTGAACATTTTTAAGCTTAATAGGGTTAAAGAAAAAATGCTCTTAAAATTAAGCTTTGAAAATTGGAAATTCCAATTTGGAATTATAAACTTTTACTTGAAAAACATAATCTTCATTTAATGCTATCCGAAAGTGAATTTTTTATAATTTTTTCAGCTATTATATTTTAAAGTTTGCATATCAAATAAAGGATTTCATGTATTTCAAAAAAACAAGTGGTTTTTTTTTTTGCTGTGCAACTAAGACAGTCTATTAAAAAATACATTAGCAAGATAAGAAATTTTTCAGGGCATGTGAAAAGTAGGTAAAATCCTATAATTAATGAAAAATCAATGACATCCCATAGCATTGATTTCCCAAGCACTTTGTATCGGCTGCGAACTTTGATTGCGCAACTTTGAAAGGTAGCAACGGGATATGCACTTTAAGTGAAGTCATCAAAGAGCTTGGCAGTCGGTTGTTAGGCAATTTCAGTGCTGGGGCAAAGTTGACTTTTGCACTTGCACTTACTTAGCCCACAACCACTCACTTTGCCGTGTTGACGGTGCCGAGTAAATATTTCCATTTATGGTCCTATACACTTATTGAGCGTGGCCATCGTTCCACGTACCACGTTCCCTCCTCCTGGCAGCTGAGTTGCTCCGGGGGCTACTTGACCCGGAGACCTGGCAACTGGGAAAGTCCCTGGCACGTTGCTAATGTGCATAGCCATTAAGTCGGGGCTGCGTGTTTTGTTTACGCAACGGCGTGAGCTCCATAACTTGGCAGGGGGTTTGGTTCGGTTTGCCTTTGCTTTTGGTTTCCAAAGGGCCAACAATACTCTGGCATTGCTATTCGACTGTTGCATGTTGCAAGTGTGGCTGACAGGTAACTAGGAGAGGGGTAGTGGGTAAGAAAATTACATTAAATCGGATGGGATGGAATGGGTTTTGAGTTGCCCTAACAACAACTAGTCAAGGCAACCAGCAACATAGCCGGCAGTAAATGGAATCAAAACAAGCAGCTATTATTCGACATCTGAAATCAAAGTAAACCTGCTATATTTTCGTCAGGAATATGGAAATAACTTTCATCAAACGTTGTTAACAAATTGTGAATCTACATATATACATATATATATACCGTGTGGCGTGGACCAAAGACAACATTTCAAGGCATTCCGATTCCATATTTGGTTTTTAGACGGGCTGGCATCGGCCATCGCCGGAGTTGCAGCCGCAACTGTTGTCCTGGGATACACAAAAGGATTTGCAGACGCCCGGGAGTAAATACGCCAGCATTCTGCGGCGGAAACGTAACCAAACTGCACAGCACGGCAGCTGAAATTGATTGAAAGAACAACAAAAACGGAAAGGTGGTTGAGCAACTGAGAGGACGAGAAATCCTGTTTGTAACGAGAAATCCTGCGAAATCAAGGCAAACGTTTGATGTTCAGCCGCGCGAAGACGCCGACGTGGCAGCCAAACAACCGAAAAAGAGCAAGCAAAATACCTTGAAAACTCACTACCCACTCCATCGCTCAACTTCAAGGACCCATTCAAATAAGGGGCCACCACCATGTCACAAACCCAACTGGAATCCGCCAACGACAGTGTCGATGCCCCGGCGGAATCCTTTAACAACGATGAACCTCGTGTGGTCTGGCTAAAGACGATTATTTCCAATCTTTTGGGAGTGTTCGAACCCAAGTATGTGAATGCCACGATCAACAAAAATATGCCAGCCGTGGATGCCTTTTTCCAGAAACGCTACGAGTCCCAAGACGATCTGGACTATGTTGTATTGTTCGTGTGGCGCACCTTCTACGACAAGCTCATCGAGGAGGAGATCACAGTCCTTGAGGAAGTGCCTCGCCCACCGCCCACTGTTCCCGACAAAAAGGGCAAGGGCAAGAAAAAGGGCGATGCCCGAATGGCGGGCGGTAAATCGGCAGGCAAAGCCGGTGCATCAGCTGCAGGAGCAGCCGGAAAGGGACGCAAGAAAGCTGGTCAGGAGTCGGCGGCACCAGCCGCTGGTGGAGATCAGGAGCACGGGGAGGAAATCAACACGGGCGGAGAAACCACAGATGCCGAGGTCGAGGGGGAATTGGAGGGCGAGGAGGAGGCAACGGTGGCCGGAAGTGGCAAGAGCTCAGCTCGATCCCGACGTAAGTAATTATTTATATTTAATAATCAAACATATGTAACTATTATTCAAGAAATATTCTGCATTGTCCGTTCAAGAGAGCGTCCGTATTTTCTTAAATTGTTAAATTTACCAAATTTCAAATTCATGAGTTTTATTTAAGAGGTTTTAATTTAAAGAGCTAAAACTAACTTTAATAACATACCACTTATATTTTCAGCCAGCTCTGATACGGAAAATGGTAAATATGATGCATTACTTGAGTTTCCTTTGTTTCTGTCCAAAGATTTTAATTTCAAAAGTTTCAGTTTTTCAGTTTTTTTCTCTTCCATTTCACAAGGCTTTCTCCATTTTGGCGATGCATAAATTTTTAGCCCGTCCAACTTGATATCAAACGAAAATCTTGGTCCACACTTTGATTCGCGCTGCCCACTTCACATCATAAATATTTAAGGGCCTCATTTTCGTTTGCCTGGCTAAAATTCATTTCTTTTGTAACTTTTAATTTGAATCACCCACTCCAGCAGCTCAACCATTCCGGCATCCAACTCATTTGATTTTCCATTGCCTGGTGCAAAGATAAGAGCAAAGTTTCGCCGGCTCATTCATTGCATTTAAATGGAAGCGCGCAACTTGCCACAATGCAAATTCCGCCCGCTGCACTTTGTTCCATCCCATCAATCTCAATCACAATCGTAATCGCGGAGCTGCATTCGCTTACTCGCTTTTGACACGCCCATTCTATCGCCTCCCCACTAATGCACTCCCCTAAAATTTTCATCATCCTCCTTCTCACCCAAAAAGGAAGCAAAAAGAAGAAGAAGCCCAGCTATGTGCCCGTCTACGTGGAAGTGAAGGTGAGAAACTGTGTGCACATACCCTAATTGAAACGCACAAAGGGTGTGCGAGAGATCCCTAATTGAAAATGGCTCTCAACTCTTTGAAATTGATGTGATAAAACATAAAACTAGTCAGTAAAGTCGCAAAAAATTACAGAAACTGGTGCCGGCGTATGTCAAGACCCCACAGCTGCACTGCCACTTCGGGAAGATGGAGTCCGAGGACCTGGACCCGAAAATCAAGTACATATACATTGTGCGGAAGAACAGGAGGGAGATACGTGAGTACTCAAAAATATAAGTCAAAAAAAAATTACAGAAATATCATATTTGAAGTCCAGAAAAATTATACAAATAATTCTTAAAAAATTTAAAAATAGTGAACCAATTAATAAAATATGTTGACTCTTATAACATTTTGAAAATTATTAAGAAAATTTATTCTTCTCTTTTCTTGTACTTTAGAAATAATTAATTATTTTCGATTTTGAATTCGATTCGATTTAAAAATCCTCCAGAAGGAACCATTTATTCTAGATTTATTACCCATTTGCTCAACCTAATAGTTCGTTAACTTTAATGTCCTTTCAGCCTGGTTCAGTGAGGTATCGGCTTGCTTCGCCCAAATGCCGCTGTACTTCCTGATAGGCACCGTTCGAGGGTCACTCATCAACTCGCTGAGAGATGACTTGAACCTGGTAAGCCTTCCCTATTCCCAACTTTCTAACGTAATCGGACATTAAAAGACGCATCACCAAACCAAAATCACTCAAATTTGCACCCGATTCGCTCATTTCACACACCATAAAACGTTGTTCAATCAATCAAGGACTTTAAGGCCGATTCGCCATTGTTTCAAGGACTCGTCGTTCTTCGTCCTTTCGTCCGGTTGTCCGCTTGTCGTTTCATGCCGAAGTCCGCCCTCCGACCGCAAAACAAAATGTTGTGACGAATTGTAATTAATTCCCGAAACAAGGCAGTCATCTATCAAAATGTGCCCGCTGTGCCGCAAGATTTTTCCGCTTCACTGCACCACTTTGGAGCTGAGAGGATTTCGGGTGTGGTGGTTCAATGGGTGGTTTGGGTGACTGAATGGGTGGGGCATCACGCCTACTGAACCGAGCCTTAAGCGTTGACCGCCAACGCAAATTGCTTCATCATAGCTTCGAAAACGGGCTGCGGTTTCCATTAGACTGCCACCCAAGACTCTGGGCCCTGCGAATTCTGCGGCAGCGAGTGGGCTTCCATAATATTAGCTTTGCATGAAAATAAATTGGAAAATTGTTGCCTCAAAATCAGTTTTTGGCGAACGGGGCGAATCAATTAGAAAGTCTACACAGACCGCAGGCGGCCTCCAATATCCTGGCACTCCATCTTTGATTCCATTGTACATGTGGTGTTTTTTCTACTCTTATTTTTTGTTTTTTTTACAAACAGGTTTACAAGAGCGCCATTCAATTTCAATTTCGCGAACCGGCCACAGCGGATAGCCAGCAAATGGACAGTTATGAGGGGCAGGCCGGTGGAGGATCTGGAGGACGAGAAGGAGGCGGCGGAGGAGGAGGAGGAGCAGGCGATGCCGGCGAGGATATATCCAGCGAGGCCAAGGAATCGGGGCCGGGTCTATTGGAGCTATCCAAACCATCGGAATTTCGTTTGAGAGCGCTTAAACAACAAAAGTATTTAACTTTTAACAAAGGCAGAGGGTGCGGAGGCATTCGCTGCTCCGCTGGCTTCTGGGCAAAAATCGTGGATGGGTTTATTGGTTTCGAGCTCTGCTCTGGAGTGGAGGAGGACTGACTGGGCTCCGATTGTGAATGCTGGGCTTTCTTTTAACCCATTTTCCCCTTTTCTTTTTTTCGTTCCTCCCACTCCCTCTCTGATTTTTTCGGTGCAAATTTTTTGTTTGCCTTTGTTTTGCGCTTATCGCTGGTTACCATCGGCCACAGTTGCCTTTTCTCCCCATTTTATCCTTGATGCTGCTGCACAGAACCCTTTTCGCACATAAATTACAGCGCATCCGATAAGAAATTTTTATTTTTAATCGGATTTCATGCTACCATCAACGGCGCCGTTCTCCGTTGTCGTCGGTTGTTGTCTTCTGGTTCTACTGGTTCTGTTCCTGGCCAGTTTCCATTTGTTTGGCAGGCAGCATTTATGGCACATCCTGGCGCGCCTCATTCATCCTTGCATTGGCCTTTCATTGCCGCCTCGCCTCGCGAATGCCACTTGACCGCCACAGTTAAATTTTTCCCCTTTCATTTCGAACATTTTATTTTTTCCCCTTGTTTTTTATTCTGCCATGCAGATTAAAAAATGCCAACGCAGGAGGAGCCGGAGTTGGGTTCGTGTCCATATCCTCGTCCACGTCCAGCGAAGAGTAGCCTTTGTTACGCTTTGTTGGGCGGCCCTTGTATTTGTTGCTCATTTTGCTTATCGGGAGCCTTTCATTACGCTTTGTGTTAATTTTGCATACTGCCCGGCCGTTAATTGTGTTTGTTTGTTTATTTGCCACTCCTGGCGATCCTTTTCTGCAGGAAGAAAAAGGAGATGGAGGCGGCGGCCAAAAAGGCGAAGGCCAAGAAGCCGGGCGCAGAGCCCACCGAGGAAGATGAGGAGAGCGATGCCCACAAAATCGACACGCACATTTCGTCCTCCGAGGAAGAAGGTTTGTAGATACTCCAAGGAAATCTCTATAAACTTTGATTAATCGGGGATCCCATAAAATTACTATAAACTAAACTATTTTTGAGCAAATTTGGCTTCAGAAATTGTTTCTATTAATTATATTTGCGATGTACATCCCTAAATATTTTTAAATGTTTAAAAGTATATCTAGATATGAGTTATTCGTGGTCTCAAAACGAAATTTAATTTTTATGACAATATTACACCATTTATATAGGATTTTTAAAAAAGTAAAAAGTAAGTTAGGTATTTTTTAGTTTTAGGTATTTTTATTTATTTTTTGTAAAAACATTTTTAAAAATCCTATTTAAATGGTGTAATACCATGCAGAAAATCTTGATACGTTTCACAAAAAATCACTCATACATATATGTTATATTGACTTACCCTTTATTTTCTTTCAGTGGTCGAAAAGGTTGAGAAGCTGACGATAGCCCAGCGTTGGGAAAAGATGCTCAGCGAGACGAAGGCCAAAGTAGAGGCTGAACACGCGGCCGAGGAGGCCACTCCGCCACGAATCACGCCCATCCAGAGGCGGCTGCTCAAGGAGATCGAGGAGTTCCAGAGTGAAATCACCTGGACCATCAATCACATTGTCTGGGCCTTTAGTCTGCCCTCGTCGTATATACTTCCGGGTCAGGAGGAGACCGAGTTCGAGGACGCCATCATTCGGGTGCCCGTGGATCCCAAAAGATTAGACCTAGTGATCACCTACACTCAGCAGCAACTGGAGGAGGTAGTCGACGGTTGGATAAAGTATCTGAAGAAAACGATGAAGACGCTGACCGATGCCAAACTGGACGATTTTACTCCGATGGCAGAACACCGCTATTGGCACAAAATGGAGGTGGAGCTTTACGGAACTTTGGAGCAGTTAAAGACAGAGTTTGTGGTAGCTGTGCTACAGCGCCTAACTGATGATAACTCCCCAGTTTTGGCCGAGTGGCAAAAGGTTCTTGAAATGACAGAGGCTCGCTTCAAACTGGCCAAGGAAAATTCTGACTATTTAGGAACCATCATTGATTATTTAGAGGTAAGATCTACAATTTTTCTCTAGGTGGTCTAAATTCAGCAACGATAAATAGGTGAAAGATCACTTAGAGTTTATAAAGGTTAAAGTATCACAAAAGTTTTGATTTCTTTATATACATACCAGCTTTAAAACCAATCTTTTGAAAAGTATTTCCGGTCTTCCAAATAAGTTATTCAACAAATTCGCCAAGTGTGGCAACTCTAAAACTTCAAGTTCCTGTTTTGACGTGGAACCAGTAGTTGCAGCAAAGAACTCGTTCCTTTTGGAACCTTTATAGTGATTGAGTTTTAGTGGCTTTATTATAATACCCTACATATTTTATATTACCAACTTTATATATAATACTTAAGAGATATTCGTGTAAATCTAATAATGTGTACTTTCCTAATCTACTCACCAGAAAGTGCGCAGCTATGAGAGCTTCAAGATGGTGGTGCTCCAGATCCCCAACATAATGGTTGGGCTGCGACACATCTGGACCATGTCCAGCCACTATTGCCGGGATCCCGAGATGCAGGTCTTGCTCTGCCAGATCTCGAATGTGTTCGTCCAGAAGGTGAAGAGCATCATCAACTTTGAGAACATCTTCAAGTAAGTAAATTTGCAAGGAGCTGCGGGCAACTTTGACTTTTGAACTAGAGATAAGCGCGTGAGCTATGTGACACATTTTTATATCGCATAAAAGCAGAGTTGTCAGGGTATTTAAATATTACCGTTATTCCATTTGATTTTAAATATAGGATTTCATTTATTACAAAATAAAGCTTTTAAAAGTAGTTTCTATGTTTTTTTTTTCGATAAGACTTTCAAATCTTTGCTTTACTTATTTCCTAATAATTCATATTCAAACTTGTAAATAAATAATTTTTTTTTATGACAGGTATTCTGCGACCTACACCTATGAAACCGCCACCAACTGTGCCAATTTGCTGCGCTGCTGGAAGCAGGCCTACAAGCTCAGTCGCCAGCACATCGAGGATTCCGGGGCCGGATCCCGCTGGGAATTCGACCGAGTTGCGCTCTTCAACGAGGTGAATCACATCCACCGTGTGGCCGTGGACATTGCCTATGTGGGACGTGTTTTCGTTCAGTACGAGAACCTTTTCGGCCATCGTTTAAAGGCCTGCATCGCGGATCCCTCGATTGTGGACAACCTGATGCGCAAGGTGTATCGCATGCTGGACGATCTGATCAAGAGTGTGGACTACGACATGTTCAGGCCGGGAAATTGGGAGAACTGGGAGTACTCGCTGGAGATGTTCAACAAGCGGCTGGACAACGTGGAGAACGAGGCCAAGAACGTGATCGACCAGAGCATCAATTCACTGCTGTCCTCTGAAAAGGGTTTGGACCTGGTCATCAATGCCATGAACATAGACACAAGAGCTGGTCTCCAGGAATTTGTGGCCACCAAGCACGAGAATTTGCTGCGATTCTTCGTGACAGAGATAAATGCGGTAGAAAGGGTTTTTACGGTAGGTTCGCTTTATTTTATTTATTTTTTACCCTCCCAAAATTAAATTTATTCTTCTACAGAAATTGAAAAAATCCCCGCCCATGGCCAAGCATCAACCGGCCAAAATAAGTGCCATCTTTTGGGCCCGCTTGCTCGGAAAGAAACTGAAGACTTCAGTCCTGGCATTCAAGAAGGTCGAGGATGAGCCGGCGATCAAGAACAGTTTTCTAAAGCGCAGCTCCTTTAAGCAGTACTTTGAGCTGATGACGGTGATGTTCCAGTTTGAAAAGGTGCTCTTTGAGAACTTCATACAGAACGCCACATATTTGGTTAACACCACGAACCGTTCCAACGTATTGAGAATTCGCATCTGCAAGGAGACTACAAGTAGGTCTAATAAATAAGTTTATATCGAAAGAAACTAATTGTTCTTCCCCCAGTGTCCTATATATCGGAAGCCGTCCAAACCCTGAAGGCAAAGCCTCGGGCCGATTTGCAGATGAGCAGTTCTCGGCGTATTACTCCAGTTAAATCTAGTTTAATGCCGGTTCAATCGGAAGCGTTTAGCACCTATAGCGTTGCCGATTCGGCGGGATCGGAACCGAGTTCGGAGTCGGAGGATGAGGGCTTGTTGGTGGGCGACACCTCGCAGAAGAAGCTGATGTGCCGCATCAACCGACTGACCGTCCTGGTGGCGATGATCATGTGGATGGTCAGTAATACGCGAAAGGCCAATATACAACTAATGGAGTGCACAGCCTTCATCAAAATGGTCAAGGATAAGAAGCCAAAAGATGTAACAGCGATGGATAAACATTGTGTGAGGACCTGCGAATGTAAGTCCTTCGAATACATCATTATAAACCATATTATATTTTATATTATATTACTTTAGTGCTGCAACGAGCGGAGTCCCAGTACCTGCTGCCCATTTGGCGTGAACTGGTGGCGGACAAAACCCTCATCGAGTACGACATGGACTTTGTGGTCAATCTAAAGCGCGATGTCTTCGATGTCCTGTTCGAGGCTCAGCAGTTTGAGCATCTGGGCTTCACTTTGCCAGCGGTTTTGCGAACGGCGATCATGAAGAAAGATCTGCTGTTCAAGGACTATGAGAGGATGACCGAGGTGGTCGACAAGTACAGGGCGATCATTAATAACCTTTCCATGTCCGAGGTGATCTTCCTGCGCGGCCACATCTACGACACGGAACTCTTTATTCAAATGGGCGTGGGACGATATACCTGGACCTCTTTCAATATTGGCAAATTCTGCGATCAAATCAACTCACAGTTGCGCAAACTTACCTCTATAGTGTCGCAAATCAATTTTATTCGCCTGGATTTGCGCTCTCGCATCGACATGATAAAGAGCTTTAATTTGTTCAACCTGGATGATGAACTCAAAAGCGAAAGGAAATCTACGTCCTCCGATAGTCAGCGATCATCGAGTGCGCAGGATCGAAAGAACATGTCGCAAAAGTTTAAATCGGTCACTGGTGAAACTATAACTATGTTCACGATGGAAAAAGAGGTTCCCGCGGAGGAGAAAGCTGAGCAAGCCTGTGGCTCCGGCATTTATCCTTGTCAGGGGTATTTTGAACTTCTGGAGGCGTCGCGCAATCGAAAGGCGGCGCAGATGAAGAAGCTTTATGATTCTCTGGGTCCCGTGCTCGTCAAGCTGGAGAGTTTGGTGCTAGGCACATTCTCGGGCAGGTCAGATCGGATGAAAACCTACTACGAGTACTGGGAAGAGGAAACCTTCAAGTGCATTGTGGAGTAAGAATCGGTTTTTAAGTACCTGGTAACTCATTAGTTATGTTATTAACTTCGCAGCATGACCTATCAGAATCTGAAGTGCTATATCAACCGTCTACTCTCAAACAAACCCATGTTTGAGGTCAATGCTGTGCTCCTCATGTCGGAAATAGTTTTGGAGCCCTCTGTTCAGGAGCTGCAAAACACTATTGTGACGGCCACCAAGGACTATATCTCTAGGCTCAGGATCTTTACGCGTTGGATGAATGGAACCTGTATCGCCTGTCCGCTAGTTGAGATGGGTAAACAGTTCAAGTACAATTACACCTACTACGAAGACATCATCCAGATTAGATCCATTGTGGATCTGGTCATCAACATACACGATTTGGCTGTTCGAGTTGCTGGCGAAGCCAGGACCTTTGTGTCCCAGTACGTAGATTTTAATTCTCTCTGAAGAAAAACCAGAAAATTAATGCATTTTATCCCAAAGATTCCGCAAGTACTTCAATCTGTGGGCCTTTGAGAAGAGCATCATCTGCCAGAAGTTCTTGGAGAAGCAGGTGACGCTCATCGAAATCGATGAGAAATTTACATTTTACTCGTCCATTGTGGAAACGCTGGCCAACACCCGCAAGTACCAGGACATCAAGTGTGTGCGCATAAATTTGCAGCCATTGCTGGAGAGCATAACGCAACATGCCAAGGATTGGTGCACCACACTGGGCGAGGAGCTGTTGCGCCATGTCAACGACAACATGAGGGCAATGCGGAACGAAATCAAAGTGAGTAGTCTTCCCCCAACAAAAACCTCCCTGTTAATCTGTGCAAATCTGTGGCAGAACCTCAGCCTAAATCTCAACAAAACCACACGCGAGCTGGAGGACTTCAAGCTGGTCATGACCACAATTGGTACGGTGCAGTCGACGACGTTGTCTAACGAGCAGAAAATCCACGAAATGCAGGAGACCTTCACCATCCTCAGCGAGCATAAAATTATGGTAAGACGCGTCTTAAATTTTCGATTTTCCATCTGCAAGTCGAGAGGAGATGGTTGATTTCCCGCTGAATTTCCCATCCTAATCCAATCCTTCTAATAGCACAACAGTCCCCCCTCCGTTTAATGAAAGTTACTTAAGTCTGCCAACCATGGCGCGCTTATTTGTGTATTCAAATGAGCAGTTTTACAAAAATCCCATCGAAATTCCAGTCGAGCTGGACTGAGACTACTGTCACTGTTTCTATTTCTGTTTACATATGCATATTCGGCGGTCGGTCGGTCTGGCCAGGACCATTTGGAAATGGCTTTCCGCTTTTTGGCGCAACCACCGCACAAATGGTTACGTAAATGCAGCAGCAGCAGCAGCAACAGCACAGGACTATCTATAGTCCGTAGTCCAGATTAGGATCCGGACTCTCGGACCCAACCGGCCAATGCTGCGTATCGGAATCTGTGACTGTGTCTGTGTGCTGCCCATTTTGGGAACCGTTCGATCCGTTTCGTTTCGTTTCGGTTCGGTCCCTTCATTTATTGATGGCATTCCGTTGCGGCGGCGACGTCGCTTAGCTTTGGCCAGACAAAACGGAATTAACTTGCATTTTATATAAATTAATGAACGAATGAATGCATACACCCGCACTCAGGCACAGAGTAATGTATATACAGATAGGGTCAAGAAAGTAGGTCCAAAGATTCGATCCATAAAATGATAATATCGATTAAGAAAATGTGACGATCTTATTTATTATCAGATCCATAAAATGGTAATATCAAATAATAAAATGTTACGATCTTATTTAATATTAGACCCATAAAATGGTAATATCAATTAAGAAATTGTTACGTTCTTAGTTAATATCAGATCCATAGAATGGTAATATCGATTAAGATAATGTTACGTTCTTAGTTAATATCGAACTATGAAAACAATGAACTTTTCTTTAGTTTATAAAAATGTTATGTCTGTAAATTGGCTAAAACATAGTACTACATTAAATTTGATATAATATTAAAATAGGAAAATATATTTATAAATCTTTAAAAAAAATGGTAACCATAATAGGAAACCTTACCTTTTTAGTAAGTTATACATTTGAACAAAAAACTACATAAAACTTCATTAGAAGTTATAATATTTTTAAATTCAAGTTATCTTAAATCTTTATAAATACCCATAACTACCATTTTGCCGGCACCTGTATATATTGGCATTGCAATTGCTGGAAAGGCCAAATGAAAATTTATGCGGTGGCGGCCCTGAAAGTTATGCTATAGTTTTTTTTTCCACTGCGGAATTTGGACTGTTGGTTGTGGGTCAAAAAAAAAGAATGAGAAGAGAAAGGGGTGGGTTTGAACACCATGCTTCGCTGGTCGTTAGTGAATTTCGGCACTTTTCATGATTATTATTTGCACTCAGCCATAATTGAAGGGCACTGCTTAATTTTTATGTGCGTTTTATTTACATTTCGACTCGCAATTTAATTCGTTCTCTACCATTCCAGTTCCCCTACGAGGACATGCTGATGGCCCATCACCTGGAGAAGCGCTGGAAGAGGCTGTTCCTATCGGCCCTGTATCGCTATGAGAAGCTGCAACCAATTAAGCAGAAATTCGCCGACATGACTTCCGTCGAAATCGATGAGTTCTGCGATGATGTAAGTTGTCGGAGGAAAAGGAAGTACCCAGTGGAGGTGGAGGCACTTCCTCTGGGCAGGGTTTTTGTGGCAATGGGATTAGGACTGAGTCGGCTGCCTTGCCGACTTTGCATTTCCGCTATTTTGCGTTCTTTCTCTGCATTTCTGTTTTGTTTCCTCCCATTATTATTTCCTTTCAATGGCATTTTAATTGGATTTTTCCGCGCGCTCAACCATTATTGTCAATTGTTAGCGGCGACGGCGCTGCTGTCGTCAGCGTAAAATGAATTAACTTGAAGTGTTTATCATTTGAATTAGAGCGCAAAGACGGATGTGGTGGTTGGGTCAGGGGGGCCATCTCCGGCCACCCATTTCCACAGCCACTTTATGCTGCACTAACCTTGTTCCCCTTTTCGCCCCCACGACAGTTGGGCGAGTTTATCAAGGATTACGATGAGAATGGACCCGGCTCTGTGGGTGCCGAACTGGAGCGAGGAGTGCGCCTAATGGATCCGTATGGCCAGAAGATTGCCGAACGGGAAGCAAGACGCGAGGAGTTGGCCAATGCCGAGCGACTCTTCGACATGGCCATGGTGGATTATCACGAATTTGCGCGAGTGCAAACCGAGTTTGAGGGACTGCAGCAGGTGGGTTGTTATTGAAATATCCTTTTCCTATCTGCAAGATAATTTCAAACCCCCTATTCACACAGCTCTACAGACTTTATAAGGCGCAGAAATTCGCTCGCGAGGGCTGGGGCAAGACCTTGTGGGCCGATCTGGATCCCAACGTGCTGACCGAGGGCGTTGAGAGCTATCTGAAGGAGTTCCGGAAATTGACCAAGGCGGTAAGCTCTTCCTCGGGGGCGCGGCAAACTTTGCCAATTAAACAAAGTTTTTCGGCCTGCTTGGATTTTCATAAAATTACACGATGCCTGCGAACGGGAACAACAAAAGCAAAATACTTTTGAACTGTGAACTCTCTGGTGAAAGGCATCGTCGTCTTATGATGCCACTTTTACGCTCAAGCATGTCGGGCTATTCAAATAACCAAGTGAATATCCGGGAATATTCGAAAAATCTAGGTTTTCCAGTTGGTTGGCTCTGCAAAGTGAACCAAATCGAAGTACAATTCAAATCATTTCTCCCTACCTACTGGGTACTATCTTTTTCCGTACCCATCTCTTTAGTTGGATTTCCTCCAAAATGCTTTAGTTAAACAAGAAATGGGAATTTTCTGGCCACGCCTTGCAGCGACAAAATTTTGCACCTAAACTGATTATGACAAATTGATTTATTTACTTCACTAACAAGTTTTTGAGGAATTTCGCTGGCCGGGCCAAAAGTTTGTTGCAGCCAAAACTTTTCGCCCATCGCCCATACAAATGAAGTGGGCGTGTCCGTGTGGGCGTAAAGGAGAAATTCGGGGGAAAATTCTAGGTAGGATAAAAAGGGAGACCATCATAACTCCGGTGGAGAGAAGATTAGTATGGCAAATATTTCAAAAGCACCGCGATTAATATAAATAGCGTAGTGGGTGCCAACAAATTTGAATATAATCATTCGACACGCACATATTTTAATGCAGTTTTATCGTGCATAATTTCGGCCGCCAGGCCCTGGAGCACAAACTACTGAAAGGCTCTACATAATCGGCGTCCTAAAATGTAAATCAATTTGTTCAATATTGAAAATAATTAAAATGCCAGCGGGCTGTCCATGTCGTCGTCTGCCCGCCGCCCATCGAAATCCCTCGTCCTTGCCATCGACTTGTTGACAGTGTTGCAGGGATGCTGCTCCTCTGTTGTTGCTATTTCAATTTATGTCCTGAATGGTCCGGAGTGCCATGCATTTTGCATGTGCAAACAAACGGACAGGCAGCAGCAGCCCGGCATGCAAACAGAATGCGCTTTTTGGCTAACAGCAGCAACGATGGGTGGCTAAAACATAACCGAGACCAAAAACCACCGGCCACAGGACGCGCGTTCGTCATAATTCAATGGGGGGCCAACCGCAGGCAGCAACCACACTATTGTTTCAGCTGATTTTCAGGCAGCTAACTAACCATCCGCCACCCCGTAACCAGCAAAATCCAACTAACCCATCGGATGTTTCCCTTTCCAGGTGCGCACCCTGCCAGTTGGCGTCCAACTGGAGATCCACATGAAGCAGTTCAAGGGCACCGTACCGCTGATGGTCAGCCTCAAGCACGAGGCCCTCAGGGAGCGACATTGGCTGCAGCTGATGGAGAAGACGGGCCAGTACTTCGACATGTCGCCGGCTCGCTTCACCCTGGAGAACATGTTCGCCATGCAGCTGCACAAGTACCAGGATATCGCCGAGCAGATCCTCACCAATGCCATCAAGGAGCTGCAAATCGAGCGGGGTGTCCAGGCTGTCATCGAGACCTGGGCCACGATGGCCTTCAAGACCTTCAAGCACTACAAGGGATCCGAGGATCGGGGCTGGGTGCTCGGACCCGTGGATGAAATCATGCAGATACTCGAGGACAATGCCATGAATCTGCAGTCGATGGGAGCCAGTCAGTAAGTATATCGTATTAAAAATAATGCTAAACAAACATTGATCTGATTTAATTAGGAAGAATTTAGTAATAACATGACTTAACAAAACTAAAATATTTAATTGGTTACTTAAAAATAATAATAATGAATTCCAATTCAAAATATTTTAAAAATTGACTCAATATTGATTTATTAAAAGGAAAATAACAAATAGTTTAAAATACAACATATTTTTGAAAAAATTTATATTTTAACACCAAAAGTTATGGTTTCCTCTTAATCATAGTCAACCAAAACATTTATAGTTTTAGATGACAAATATTTAGTTAATTTAGAGAACGTGTTTAAATTATATAAAATTTAAAATTATTTTATAAAAAAGTTATGTATAATTCTATAAGTTATTTTTAAATTTTACCACAATTTATATAGATATATTTAGAAATACTTATAGATAGGTAATGTAATGGGTCGTAATTTCTTGCTTATAATGTTACCCCTTTTAAACAGGTTCATTGGCCCGTTCCTGGAGACAGTGAACAAGTGGGAGCGCACCTTGGCCCTCATCTCGGAGATCATCGACGAGTGGCTGGTGGTGCAGAGGAAGTGGCTCTACCTGGAGGGCATATTCATTGGTGGCGACATTCGCACCCAGTTGCCGGAGGAGGCGCGGAAATTCGATGACATTGACAAGTCGTATCGCAGAGTGAGTAATCCGGGCTATTTGCTTGTTCTGGTTATTTGGTTATTGGGCTATTTGGCCCCCGAAAGCGGGTCAGAAGGCACACTTAGTATCTGGCTACAATTTATTTGAGTTGATTTAATGTGTGCCGACAATATGGCGACTCCTTACTTAACGGTAAACATAATACGCATGCAAACGACTGCTATTGTGTATGCGTAATTGTGTGCCCCCTCACACACACACGCACACATCGGAAATATGCCAGGATATTTCAACAGCAGCAGAAGCAGGAGCAAATTCACATTACACATACGCAACGTAAGCCGGAGCAGTGTTTACAAATGCCAAGCACTTTCACCTTCCACTACTACTACCACTGCTGGCTGCTTTCTCCTTTCTCCTCTGCCCCGGTGTACAAGTGTGCGTGTGAGGATAGATTTGTGTTTGTGCTTGGCGCTTAACTTCACTTAACCTTGCCAGCCACTGGATTCCTTGCTCCTTCATTCGTTTGCTTTACGTTTCATTTGCAACATTTGCCGCCATATTTGATGCCATTTGTGAAATGATTTATTATTTTGATTTGCTCTCGACATTCGTGTTAAGTTCCATACACTCTCGATGCGATGGCCTCTTATTTGGCTTGACCGACTCGAGATCCTTAGACTGTAGTGCCACTCGAAGGATTAAAATTACTTAACAAACTTGAAGTAATATTGGACGAAGGTTGAGTTGTAAGTTGTAAGGAATTGCATTATTATTCCATTATTGGTGGAAAATTATTAGATTTTTAAAATTACTATTTTTATTTTTAGTAAAAAATATTACAGTGCTAAATTATCATTTCTATTTGGTCATTATAGCCAAAAAATATAAAAACTATTTTATTTATATAAAACTATTGCTATATATTTTCTAAAAACAATGAGTAAATAAAATACTATCATAATAAATTAGTTTCTAGTACAAACTAACATTATAAACTTCTTCTAACTATAACAAATATAGCGAATAGAGTATACAAAATACAATATATAAGACACTGGAACTCTGGCACTCTTCTCTAATATGTTTGATTGTATTTGGGTTGGTCGTTGCGCTCATTGCTTTTCATAATAATTTACTGCCCCGACTGGCGATGCCGCTTTCTGGTTTCTCGGTCCTGTTCTCCCCGGCTACACACTTAAATACATACATCTTCCTCTTCCATTGCAGATCATGGTCGATTGTGCCAAAAATCCGTTAGTGGTGCCATTCTGTACAATACCCGGTCGCTTAGTGGATATACAGGGCCTGGGCATTGGCTTGGAAAATTGTCAGAAGTCGTTAAACGAATATTTGGACTCGAAGCGTCGCATTTTTCCGCGTTTCTATTTCATATCCACCGATGAGCTGCTCTCCATCCTGGGCAGCAGTGAGCCATCTGCAGTGCAGAACCACATCATTAAGGTGGGTATTGGGTTCGTATTGGGTGGGTTACCCGCCTTCAAGTTGGTGGGCGTGTGTTGGTGGTGACAACAACAGATTTGCCAAACTGCCAGTGACATTATTTTTATGTACAAAGGGGCGTGGGTATATATATATATATATATATACCTATATGTGGAGAGTCTTGCCATAAAAGTTAATGTCACTGTTTATTCGTTCTGGCCAATGTCCATGGCGGAAATTACGCCAATTTCTGCAACACATGCATGGCGCTCGTTTTTCGGCAACGCTTGAGCAGTGGTAAATTTTTATGAATTTATTTGGCTTATAAATAATATATATTTTTTTTCTTTCTTCCTCTCCTTTTGCATTTATTTTGCAATTTTCAGATGTACGACAATATCAAGTCGCTGCGTTTGGTGAAGGAGGGAAGCCAGACGATTGTTACCGGCATGATTTCCAGCGAGGGCGAGGTCATGGAGTTCCGGCATTCCGGTGGGTACACTGCTCCATTCGGTTGGGGAAACGGATTCTGGACAATCCAGCATCAACGCACTGATTGCCAATTTTAAAATTGAACTTTTTTATGGCAATATTGTCTGCTGGCTGCCGGCTGGGCAATTTCTTTTAATTAATTTGAAGCCAGAGTCGCAGTTGGCATCGCATTGGCATCGTCATCGTCATGGGCATGGGCACATCCTCGGTTCTTATTGCCATTGTTGTTGCTTTATTGTTTGTTGTGTAACACTTATTGATATTGGCAACTGGGGTTTATTTATGCGGTTATTGTCTTTTCTTTTCACTTCTCTCTACTTCTCTTCCTCTCTTTATCTCTTCCTGCGGGATAAAAAAAAAACAGCGAGGGCCGCAGGACGCGTGGAGTACTGGATGAACGATGTCCTGGATGAAATGCGCCGCTCCAACCGCTTCATAAACAAGACGGCCATCTACGACTTTGGCACAGATCTGCAAATTTCAAGGTAAGTGCTACCGTCAGCTGGGCATAAAACATATTTTATGCCTCTCCTGTCTGTCCTTCCGCTTCCCTTGCGCATCCTTCGGGGGGCGGGGATAGCATCCTTGCTACCAGAGTGACACTTCGGCAGCCAATTCCTTTTATGACCGGCGATTTACATTGCGGGAAGTCGACTTTCCGACTCCATCTCCTCCTCCTGGGACTGTATAATTTTGTCATTTCGCGCGATTTATTATTTTGTTTAAGCCATGGGGCGCATGGCCGGGCATATTTATGGCCAATTGTATTAAATTGACAGTCATTGGGCACTTTCGATTTCGACTTTGTTGTGTGTTTGTCCGCAGGCCCGACTGGCTAATGAACTACCAGGGCATGGTGGGCTTGGCCGCCAGTCAAGTCTGGTGGACAGCCGAGGTGGAGGAGGCCTTTGACCAGGCCCAAAATCACGGCAACATGCGGGCAATGAAGGATTTCCTGGGCAAGAACAACTACCAGATCGAGGAGCTCGTCCTGAAGGTGCGTTCGAATCTCTCGCGGAATGATCGTCTGAAGTTTAAGGCCCAGTGCACCGTGGATGTTCATGCGAGGGATATCATTGATAACTTTGTGAGGGACAATGTCCTGGATGCCAGCGAATTTAGTTGGGAGAGCCAGCTGCGCTTCTATTGGGTCAAGTTCTACGACAATCTGCATGTCCTTCAGTGCTCCGGAAGCTTTGACTTTGGCTACGAGTATATGGGTCTCAATGGCCGCCTGGTTATCACTCCGCTCACGGATCGCATCTACCTGACCATCACCCAGGCGCTGCTCATGAATCTTGGCGGTGCTCCGGCCGGACCAGCTGGAACGGGCAAGACGGAGACGGTCAAGGATCTGGCCAAGGCCATGGGCCTGCTCTGCGTGGTCACCAATTGCGGCGAGGGCATGGACTACCGGGCCGTGGGCACCATACTCTCGGGTTTGGTCCAATGCGGCGCCTGGGGATGCTTCGACGAGTTCAACAGGATAGACATATCGGTGCTCAGTGTGATTTCCACCCAGCTGCAGACCATCAGGAATGGTTTGATAAGGAAATTGGATCGGTTTGTGGTAAGTACCCAAAACAAAAAAATTGGTAAAATAAACTGTTATAATTGTAAAACAGTCCCCAACCACAAGAATTGTCAATTCTACTAAGTAAATTGTTACTCTTACGTAATTCGTAGACGTAAAGGTTACTATAAAAATAGTTACGCAACTTTAAAAAATGGTTGAATGTGTCCAAACCATAAATTGCAGTTAACTTACTATTTTCATGATAAATATACATATATTTATAGTTATTTCACTGCCACAAAGTAATTTATAAGGGATATTAAACAGGTATATTGTTCATAGTTAAACAACTATTTAAAAAGTTTCAAGGTACAAAACCAAAAATAAGCGTAACTATTTTAATAGTAGTTTAACTATTTAATAGTACGCAAAGCGAAAACAAAAATTTTTACTGTTAAAGTACTATCTTTTATAGTTACTGAACTATCTTCATTGGTCAATTTTACCAAGCAAATTTTTCTAATAATTTCTCCTTTCAGTTTGAGGGCGTTGAGATCCATCTGGATCCCAAATGCGGCGTGTTTGTGACCATGAATCCTGGCTACGCTGGCCGCACGGAGCTGCCCGAGTCCGTGAAGGCTTTGTTCCGCCCCGTGACTTGCATCAAACCCGATCTGGAGTTGATTTGCCTGATCTCGCTCTTCTCCGACGGCTTCCTCACCGCCAAAGTGCTGGCCAAAAAGATGACCGTATTGTACAGCTTGGCGCAGGCGCAGCTATCGAAGCAATGCCATTACGATTGGGGATTGAGATCCCTAAACTCGGTGCTACGAATGGCTGGCGTGATGAAGCGCCAGTCGGAGGATCTTCCTGAAGCTGTGGTCCTTATGCGTGTCCTGCGTGACATGAATTTCCCCAAGTTTGTGTTCGAGGATGTGCCCCTGTTTCTCGGGCTCATCAAGGATCTGTTTCCGGGCATCGATTGTCCTCGCATCGGTTATCCGGACTTTAATGCCGCCACGCGTCATGTGCTGGTCAACGATGGCTACATTCTGCTGCCCGATCAGGTGCGTCCTGCCACAAGTTTGTGCCCCGTCACTGCCGTGTTGACAGTGGCAACAACCTGTCACTCCTGTCCTGGCGACCATCACTTTGACACTTTGTAAATTGCGCCATGTCGCATAATCGCAAATGAAGGAAATGTTACAAAGCATTTTGTGCCCGTACCTTTTCCAATTTCAACTTTGCCTCTTTCTCTGCTGACAATTTTCACTAATACAATTTTCCATTCCTTGTTCTCTCCTCCATCCACGCTGTACTTGTACACTCCTGGCGAAAAATCCTTGGCACTTTCATCAAACAAAATGTTGCGCAAATGTCGGCCACCTCCTGCCGGAAATGGACAACTGTTGGACATGCGATGTCACCCCGGTGCTCGGGCAACATCATTTATGACAACTAAATCCCAACGACGGCAACGCCTTCTACGTCCTTTTTGTGGAAATCATGGCCGGCTGGTTGGCTGTCTGGTTGGCAGGAGGACAAAGTGGTGCAAATGTACGAGACCATGATGACCCGGCACTCGACCATGTTGGTGGGCCCAACAGGTGGCGGGAAAACGGTGGTCATAAATGCCCTGGTCAAGGCGCAGACCCACATGGGCCTGCCCACCAAGTGCCTTGTGCTTAACCCCAAGGTAAGTGGACCTCTGGCAGGCGCACAAATTGCCTCCCCCTCGGCGAGAACACTTTTCCTTTTCCTCCCTTTTCCTCCGCCCTTTATGAGCAGCTTTGGTGCATGTCCTTTGGCCCCCGTTGTCCTGTCTTCAAATTGCAGTTCTCTCTGTTTTTTCGCATTTCGCTTTGGCAAATAGGAGTTGTTAAGTGCTTGTGAAATGGTTCAATTCCATGGACTGTAATTACTTGATGCAATATTGAAAAACATTGATACTGCAATTGCGAACTTCGGTCTACGGGGGAAACCCAAAAACATTCTTCATTATTCTGCCTATCAAGTATTATTGGAGTATGTTTATCGCCACATTCTTTTTTGGTTCTCATTCCAGGCCTGTTCCGTGATTGAATTATACGGCTTTTTGGATATGGAAACAAGAGATTGGATTGATGGATTGTTTTCAAATATATTCCGTGAAATGAATAAGCCCATCGAGCGCGAGGTACGTGAAGGGGGTGCTCTTTTTATGGGGTGGGATTAGGGTGGTGGCACCTGGGTGCGGGTGCCAACCCGTCGGGAATTAAAGTGCAGCATCAGCGAGTCCGCATCCGACAACGACCACGCTCAATGTCAATTCGCGTACGGGCTCAAATGCAGGTGCTTGGTGGTTGCACCGCATCATTCATGCGGAAATCGCGTTCATACAGTAATAAGCCCGGATTGCATAGCAAACCAGTATAGGGCATATGAGCTTTAAAAAAATGGCAAATCAATAAAATTTTTATATTTTTCTTATTTCTTTAAAAAAAATTTCAGTTCGCGGTTCTACTCAATTAATGAAAAGCTAAGAGAAATTCATATTTAGGTTTAAATATTTGAAATCATTTCGATAAAAACATTTTTTATTTTCTTAACTTTATAAAGATGTTCAGATGCATTTAGCACAGTCATACAATTAATTTTGGAGGGTATATTCAAAAAAGATTTCCATACGATTTGGCAACTGAAAATAATTATAGGAAAACTAAAAAAACAAATCGAAAATTTTTTTAAAATAAATGGATGTTTAATGCATGGTATTTTTAATAAAGTATGATTTCGAAATTATTAAGATAAAAACTTATTTTATATTTAAAGCTTTTTAAAGATATTATTGTGTAGGGTTTATTTCAAAAAGATTTCAATACGATTATTTTTATATTTTTTAACAGAATGAAACTAGAGATGATTATAGAAAAACTGAAGGAAAAAAATAAAAATCCTTTACAAATAAAAGTATATTTGATGAATGGTACTTTTAATAATTTAAAAATTATTAAGATCAAAAACTACTTTATGTTTTTGCTTCATAAACATGTAGACTTATTTTGTAGGGTATATTTAGTATATTTCAAAAAGATTTTCATACGATTTTGGTCTATTTTTTATCGAGTCAACGCGAATCCCTGCTGATTTTCGCATCCAAGCACATTCATTCGGCTCTGCAGAGTAATCATTCGTGGGTGGTAAGCTGACGGCGGGGGCGTTGTGGCGACGAGAACTCCGGTGACAGGCGTTGAGTAACGCACTTAGGCTAATGCAACCCAATGCCAACTAGCTACTACCTACTGTATACCAACTCACCTATAGGAGCGACGCTACGCCTGCTTCGACGGAGATGTGGATGCCCTGTGGATCGAGAACATGAACTCGGTGATGGATGACAACAAGCTGCTGACGCTGGCGAACGGCGAGCGCATCCGCTTGGAGAACTACTGTGCCCTGCTCTTCGAGGTGGGCAACCTGAACTACGCCTCGCCGGCCACAGTTTCCAGGGCAGGAATGGTGTACGTGGACCCGAAGAACCTCCGATACAGTCCCTACTGGCAGCGATGGGTGCTCACCAGGCCAGAGCCTCAGCGGGAACTCCTCAACGATTTCTTCGAGAAGATCATCACGCAGTCGATAGCCTTTATTTTGGAAGGCCTAGATGGCACCACTCAGGGCAATCCCCTAAAACTCGTAATCATGCAGACGGACCTCAACATGGTCACGCAGTTCTGCAACCTCTACGATGCCCTGCTGCCCAACTACGTGATGGACAGCAAGAACTACGATGAGCCAGTGCTGCAGACCTACAACACGGACAGCCTGGAGTGCTGTTTCCTGCAGGCCGTCTACGGCTCCATGGGCGCCTGTCTGGTGGAGAAGCATCAGCCCGTCTTCGATGAGTATATGAAGCGCATTTCCGGCTTCCCGCTCGTTCAGGACACGCCAGAGAATCCCGCTTCGGGAGGACAATTTCCACAGAGCAAGCCCACGTTGTACGACTACTTCTGGGACGTCAAGGATAACGTTTGGAAGGCCTGGGAATGGGTGGTGCAGCCGTACACCCACGACCCCCAGGTGAAGTTCAGCGAGATCCTGGTGCCCACGGTGGACAACACGCGCACCAATCGCACGCTGAGTCTGATGAGCGAGGTGAGTATGTCATTACTCCCAGCTTCCGGGAGATGCCTTATTAATGTTTGCCCCTATTTCGGTTTCGTTTCTCGACTCCAATCCCGTTTACAGATCAAACGACCCGTTCTGCTTGTGGGCGAGGCTGGCACATCAAAGACGGCCACCATCATGCAATATTTGCGCAATCTCAATCCGAGTGTCAACGTAATTGAAAAATCTCTCTGACAAACGTCGCGTTCCCGGCTAACATGGCGACCCCATCTCTTTTTTCCATCCCATCCCTTTCCAGGTCATACTCAATATTAATTTTTCATCGAGAACCTCGTCGCTGGATGTGCAGCACACCCTGGAGGCGGCCGTGGAGAAACGCACCAAGGATACGTACGGGCCACCGATGGGCAAGAGAATTGCCTGCTTTATTGATGACATGAACATGCCGCAGGTGGATGAGTGAGTAGTTCTGAGTAGTTCGTCGTTATGTAGCAGGAGTGATAGAGTGACGAATTCCGGCTTCCGTTCCCCCACAGATATGGCACTCAGCAGCCAATCGCCCTGCTGAAACTATTCTTCGAGCGCGGCGGAATGTACGACCGCGACAAGGATCTCAACTGGAAGAAGTTCAAGGACCTCACCTTCTACGCAGCCATGGGAACGGCGGGTGGCGGACGAAACGAGGTGGATCCGCGGTTCATCAGCATGTTCTCCACCTACAACATCATATTCCCCAACGATGAGTCCCTCATCCAGATATACTCCTCCATCTTCAAGGGGCACATGCGATTTGTAAAGTTCCAGGATCAGTACATGATGATAGCCGACATGATTGTTCATATGACGCTGAAGCTTTTTAAGGTATATTGATAACTTATTTATATATGGTATCACAGAAATACTTAACCAATGAAAAGTCAGTGATTAGATTAATTAAATTATAGGGAGAGATTTTCTAAAGTAACATACAAATTAATTTGTCATCTAATCATATAACATAAACCTTCTGACAAGCGATTAAAAAATGTATTTTTCCGACATTCATTGATATTTCTGTGGCACCCATATAGACATTTTCCATTGCATATACTTACTTATCTGCCCCTTGGTTGAATTTATTTCAATACCTAAGAACACCTTGACTGCATTCAGTGGAAATTCAGTCGAAGAAATCAATTCCTGTATAATGCTTTAAGGCCTCTCACAAATTTTATGAAATTCGATTTACATATGCAAATAACGACAATTTTTCATAATCTGCTTTGCCGTGCCGTGCCGCCCACCACTTGGCCTTTTCCTCCCTTAAACCCCTCCCCCCCTTGCTGTACAATGGAAATGGAAATTATTCAATGGTCTGTAATGCACTACGACGTCGAGCTTCGTCCTCTCATTCGTCCTTGTTCTCAATCTCGTAGCTGCTCCATTGGTTTTTCGAGTGCAACTCAGTGCCGTAGTCGCCGTAGACGACCCACCCACCCGTAGTTGCACCACCGAATCCACTCCGATAACCACTCCACTCCACTCCTGCCCTCACAATGGTCACCCGCCTCGACGGCTGCCTAGTTGACTGTATCTGGGCCTCCGGCTGTGGATGTGGATGTATCTGTATCTGCTGCTCTGTGCTCCCTGCTAGTTTTGCCTATCTCTGCCGGAATATCTTGGCCGGAGCGAAATTTGATTATGTTCAAGTATTGAACTGTAGAGAGATGGCTCTTTTCGCAGCTGTGGGCGTGGCACCGGGCAAAAAGGGCGCACCGAGGCATTAGTTTATGGTCCTTTTAACAATTGTTGACACTAAAATATTATCGCATTTCATTGCGTACAGATAAAAATGCATTTGTCGCCGCAATTGCCACAAGCAGCTAGGACCTAGGACCCTTCCACCCTATCCCAAAAATGTTTGGGGGGAAAAATGATTTACTCACACCTGCTCTCCTCCTTTTTTCCTCCCCTTTGTCCCTGGACCAAGAGGAGCTCCTAGTTCGTATGTCTTCTTTACACACTCGGGGGCAAGGATATTAATGCGCCACGAAATGGAGTGAAATGAATTATTTGAATAGAATTGCCGTTACTCAGAAGAGCGCGCTGCTGGTGCGGCGGCTGCAACTCGATAATGGCTGTAAATTCAGCAACTTGGCAATGTCCCCAAAGGGCGTGTGGGAAGTCGTCCTGCGTGTCCCTTGGTGAACGCATATTGCTAGTCGAGATAAAATTGATTTGTGTGGGGGTTGTCCGGAGGGCTGCCGGATACATGGGTCATTGTCTGGTTAAGCTTATGCTAATTGCTTCCTGACCCACAGATGGTGATTGTGGACCTGCCGCCAACGCCCTCCAAGTTCCACTACATATTCAATCTAAAGGATCTGTCGCGCATCTTCGCGGGCCTGCTGCTCATCGAACCCACTTGCTTCAAGAACCTGAGGGACTTGATTAGGGTCTGGCGCAACGAGTACACCAGGATCATATGCGATCGACTGATAGCCGATAATGTGAGTATTTTAATTATAAATAATGAAAATTTTAAAATTAAATTATTAGAATTTAAAATGAAGTTATTAGATTTTTAAAAAGAAAAAACACAATGCATAGGAAAGGTTGTGAAAATGTATAAATATTACAATAAATCTATTAAAAAGTCAAGTCTTTCGTTAGTAATTTAAAAATCTTTTGGCAAATAGAAAAACATGTATAAACATTTATAATATATTTATAAAAATATTTTCCCCAAAAACCAAATATCCTAATACCCATTCCTTACTTCCAGGACATAACAAACGTGAGACGCAATCTGGCTGTTGAGGTGGCGGATCGTTTTCCCCCTTCCTTCGAGGAGGAGCATGGCTTTATTGATGCAGCCGCCGCGGAGGCGGAGGCACAGGCTCGCCTGCTCTATGAACCCTCCAAGGCGGACTTCGATGTCGGCGAGGAAGAGGGCGAAGAGGAGGAGGAGGGCGAGGAGGCACCACAGGTGATCCTGTCCCTGAAAGACTATGTCCTGCGGGATCCCCTGCTTTTCGGCGATTTCCGGAACTTTACCAACGAATCAGAGGCCCGCTTGTACGAGGATCTCTTAGACTACAACTCGGTTTACTTCCTGTTCACCGAGATCCTAGAGGAGTACTGCGAACGTAAGCAGAAAATGACGTTGGTCCTGTTCGAGGACTGCCTGGAGCATTTGACTAGAGTCCATCGCACGTTGCGCATGAATCGCGGCCATGTGCTGCTCATTGGAGTCGGCGGCAGTGGCAAGAAGTGCATCACCCGGCTGGCCGCTTTTGCCGCCGAATGCGATGTCTTCGAGATCACCATTTCTCGTGGCTACAATGAGGCCGCCTTCCGCGAGGACCTCAAAGTTCTTTACACCATAGCGGGTGTGAAGCGGAAGAAGGTCGTCTTCTTATTCACAGGAGCTCAGGTGGGGTGTTCGTAAAATATTTAAAAAGATCTTAAAAATTTGTATGGAACGGTTACTATTTTTTTAGGTGGCCGAGGAGGGTTTCCTTGAGTTGATCAACAACATTCTGACGGTTGGTCAAGTGCCGGCCTTGTTCCCCGACGAGGACAAGGATGGAATTGTCAACCAAGTGCGCAAGTTCGCCGAAGAGGATGGGGTGTCAGCTTCCAAGTGAGTGCAGCAGGAATACCCGTCATAAATTGCTCATACCGAATTTATTCCCCCCTCAGAGATGCCGTTTGGGGCTACTTCCTGCGCACCTGTGCCGAAAACCTGCACGTGGTCCTATGCATGTCTCCGGCTGGCGATGCATTGCGCAATCGTTGCCGCAACTTCCCGGGCCTCATTGGCAGCACCTACATCGACTGGGTGTTCCCGTGGCCCCGCCAGGCTCTGTACGCCGTGGCCAAGCTCTTCCTGACCGAGCACCATCTGATTCCGGCCAACCATCGCGATGCCATCGTCGAGCATGTGGTCCATGTGCACACCACCATACAGCAGTACTCCAAGGACTATCTGGCCAAACTGAGAAGAAACAACTTTGTGACACCCAAGCACTATTTGGACTATATAAACACTTATAGAGGATTGTTGGGTAGGTAGTAGAATTATTTTGAATTTTTTGTTTTATATGAATGAATTAATTAGAATTTTGAGTTTAATAGAATTGAATGAATTTCAGTTTTGAGTTTAATATAATTGAATGAATGAATGACATGAATTCCGAAATAATTCAAACGACAATTTCTTTTGAAAAAGAAATGGCCATAATTTTGTGATTAAATCTGCCTGCATTTTATTTACTTTGAAGTTAACATTGATTTGTTATAAATTTTCCACTTTTTGTTCTCGCAAGAAAGCACAAAAAAAACTGGCAAATTCAAAAAATTCATAAAAATTATTCATTCATTTATTTAATTCGAAATGAATTAGAAAATCATTCAATTTATTTCACATAGAATTAAATTAAACAAATCAGAAATTTCATGGCATACTATGATAAAACAAAAATTGAATGATTTACGCAGGGCTCTTATAAGTAGAAATAGTATTCCATTACAATCAATTTATTTATATATTTCCTTTCCAGAGGAGAAGGCCAAATTTATCACCCAGCAACGTTCGCGTCTCGGTGAAGGAATCAAAAAGATCGAAGAGGCTTCCGTCCAAATCGACGAACTGCGGATTATTGTCACTGAACAGAAGAAGAACGTGGCTGTGGCCTCGGAGGAGTGCGAGGCCATGCTGGTCACCATCGAGTCATCCACGCAAAAGGCCAACGTCAAAAAGGCAGAGGCATCGGAAAAGTCCGTTGAGGTGGAGATCAAGGGCAAGCAGATTGCCATCGAAAAGGACGAGGCCGAGGAGATCCTGGCGGAGGCGATGCCGGCCCTCGAGGAGGCCAGATTGGCGCTATCGCAGCTGGAGAAAGCACAGATTACCGAGATCCGATCCTTTGCCACTCCTCCAGCCGCCGTGCAAGTGGTTTGTGAGTGTGTGGCCATTCTAAAGGGCTACAAGGAGATCAATTGGAAGAGTGCCAAGGGAATGATGAGCGACGTGAACTTCCTGAAGAGCCTGATGGAAATGGATTGCGAGGCGTTGACGCAAAAGCAGATAACCCAGTGTCGGCAGCACATGAAGACCGGGAACCTGGATGACATGGGCAAGATCTCTGTGGCTGGAGCAGGATTACTCAGGTTCGTCCGAGCTGTCCTAGGGTTCTTTGATGTGTATAAAGAGGTCAAGCCGAAGAAGGAACGATTGGACTTCCTGGTCGAGGAGCAAGATGTACAGATCAAGCTGCTCAATCACCTGAACGGCGAGATCCAGAAGCTGGAGGAGAAGCTCGCCCAATTGAACGAGAACTATGCCACGTCCATGAAGCAGATGCGCGCCCTCACCGAAATGATGCAGCAGGCGGAACGCCGCCTGATTGCCTCCGACAAGCTGATCAGTGGCTTGACCTCCGAGTTGATCCGCTGGAGCAAGGAGATGGCCAGCCTGGGACAGCAGCTCATCGACAGCGTGGGCGTCTGCCTGATCAGCGCCTCGTTTTTGGCCTACACAGGCGCCTTTACCTGGGAATTCCGCAAGGCGATGGTCTTTGACGATTGGCTGGAGGACATTGTGGCCCTGGGAATTCCCATCCAACTGCCCTTCAGGATCGACGGCTATCTGACCACCGATGTGGAGATCTCACAGTGGAGCAACGAGGGCCTGCCTCCAGATGAGCTGTCTATCCAGAACGGCATCCTCACCATGCGCGCCTCCCGCTTTCCGCTCTGCATTGATCCCCAGCTGCAGGCGCTGCAGTGGATCCGCAAAAGGGAGTTCAGGAATAACCTTAAAGTTCTCTCCTTCAGCGACTCTGATTTCCTAAAGCAGCTGGAAATGGCCATTATGTATGGAACACCCGTTCTCTTCGAGGATGTGGATGATTACATAGACCCCGTGATCGACGACATCCTGCAGAAGAACATACGCGTTCAGGGTGGTCGCAAATTCGTCATGCTGGGTGACAAGGAGGTGGACTGGGATCCCGGCTTCCGAGTCTATTTGACCACCAAGTTCTCCAATCCCAAGTTCGATCCGGCTGTGTATGCCAAGGCGCTGGTGATTAACTACACGGTGACGCAGACGGGATTGGAGGATCAGCTGCTGAGCGTGGTGGTGGGCACCGAGCGACCGGATCTGGAGGCCCAGCGCGAATCCCTGATCGCCCAGACCAGCGAGAATAAGCAGCTGCTGCAGCAACTGGAGGACTCCCTGCTCCGCGAGCTTTCCACCTCGACGGGCAACATGCTGGACAATGTGGAACTGATAGAGACGCTGGAGAACACGAAGACCAAGGCGGGCGTCGTCATGGAGCAGCTGAAACTGGCGGCGGATACGGCGGCGGACATTGAGGTGCTACGAAATGGATACCGGCCGGCGGCCAAACGTGGAGCCGTACTATTCTTTGCCCTCTCGGACATGGCCACCGTGAATAGCATGTATCAGTATGCCCTGGCCGCCTATCTGGACGTCTTCGTCTACTCCCTGCGAAAAGCTGTGCCGGATGCTAGTCTCAACAAGCGGCTGAATAACATCATCAAGACGCTGACGGAGAATGTCTACTGCTACGGCTGCACGGGCATCTTTGAGCGGCACAAGCTGTTGTTCTCCTTCCAAATTGCCACCAAACTGGCCCAGCGGGACGGCATCCTGCTGCAGTCCGAGCTGGACTTCTTCATCAAGGGCAGCATCGCGTTGACCAAGAGCGAGCGCGCCAATCCGTGCAAGTGGCTGAGCGACAAGAGCTGGGAGGATGTGCTCAAGTTGGCCTTCGATTTCCCGGCGACTTTCGGCGACCTACCAGACCACTTTGGTCGTTTCCTGGCTGAGTGGAAGGAGGTGGGTTGGGTTAACAGTGGGGATAGCAGGGCAAATTTGAATTTATAAGAGCTACACTCATAAAAAACAAATCGAAGAATTTCCTTAAAATCTAGAAAATTCTTTCTTGAAGTTTGTTCGTCTAGAAAGGTTTTCTATATTCAAAGGCAAAATTTTCTAATAACAAGACATTTTTTTCTATTTTCAAAGGCTTACTACTACAAACTAAGTTCTTGAATATTTAACTTCATTCCTTAAATGTTTAATATTTTTAATGTTAAAAACCTTTTTCGCGTTTAATGTATAATTTTATTTTACAAGTTTACAAAAAAGTTTCTTATATTTATAGCTTTTCTTTAGGAAAAACTAAGTTATTAAGGTTTTATTCTGTTAAGCTTTTAAAGAATACTTTAAACGTTATTTAACTGGCCAAAACGCACATCTTTTGAACCCGAATGCCGGTTCAGCCGTACGCTGTTAAATGTTCATGTTTTCCATATTTTTGTATTTTCTTTTCCGATTTTCCCGCTGCTCGCTTGGGTGCATCATCTTCAACGTCAACGTCAACTGCGATGCCGTTATCAAATTGCTGCTACTGCTGCTCTGTGGACGCTGCTATAAAATGCACAACAACAACGATGGGATGGCCCAACAACAATAAACAACCACCAACCCAACAAACCCAACAACTTGGACTCGGATGGTCGATGGGAACGAAACTGCTTCTGATTCTGATTCTGACTGGCATGTGGCATTCACTGACTTCCGTTCCGTTGCCGACGCTCATTTTGCCTGCACTTATCGCCATCGCCATCGTCATTCTCATCCTCATCCGAATGCCCATGAACTGGGTACTGGTCCTTGGTCCTCGGTGCTTCGTCCTGTGCCCTCTCCTGCCCGTCGTTCAGTGGTTCGACTTGGAGAATCCTGAGGAGGTGGCATGTCCGGGCGACTACAACATCAAATGCAATGCATTCCAGGCAAGTGCTGCGTCCTGCCGCTGCTGTGTATTCATCCACTCGCTTTGCATGCTTTCAGCTTCGAGTGCTCCTGGCCGGGAGCTGCTCCTCCAACTCAAGCTTCAGATGCTCCTGGGTTGCTGTTGCTGTTGCCGTTGCCTTTGCCCGGTTGCCCCGTTTGCCATTGAGCGTTATTGGATTTCGTACTTTATGCTCGCTTCTAGTGGATTATTATATACAAGCCAGGCACAAACCGCCATCCCAAAACCCAAACCCATATCCGTACCCAAAAGGACACCACTTTGGGCGGCGTTTTAGTTTTACTCGACTTTTGCTACGTCCTGCAACTTTGGCGCACATTTTGCTCTCAAGTTATTAGCAGCCTGTTTTTGTCAGCCCGCCTGCCTGGCAGTATCTATCTATCCCTATATATGGATGTCTCTCTGGGTGTCGCCTCTGTGTGCATTACCATATTTTATCAATTTTCCAAACCATTAGATGAGCGGCAATTTGCGCCCGCAGTCGCACTTGAAACCAGCGCCAAGCGAAGCGAGCCCAATTTGCACTTGAGTTGTGCTCGAAACCGCAGAAACCGTTGGCAACACCACCCATCACCCAAAAGGCAATAGCAATAGCAATAGCAACAATGGAGGAGGAGGAGCAGCTACTGGCCAACTATGGAGGACTGATGACGAGCTGTCGTCGGCTCATTGTCATTTGTGGGTATTAAAATGTCTAAAGCCCAAGGATTTCGCCCACAGAAATTAATGTTCCTGCGCTGCTTCCGTGTGGATCGCATCTTCAGGAGCATAAATCAATATATCGTCGAAACGATGGATGAGTTCTATATAATGCCGCCGGTGGTGAGCTTCACGGCCATCTTCGAACAGACCTCCAGCACGATTCCCGTGTGCTTTGTCCTGAGTGCCGGCTCGGATCCCACCAATGATTTGATCAAGCTAGCGGACTCCATTGTCGGCATGTCCAACTTCTGTCACATTTCGCTGGGTCAGGGCCAGGAAAAGGCCGCCTTGCGACTGCTGGACGCGGCCATCAAACAGGGAATGTGGCTGATGCTGCAGAACGGACACCTGCTGATCAGATTCGTCCGGGAGCTGGAGAAGTATCTGGACCGCATCGAGAATCCGCATCCGGACTTTAGGCTGTGGATAACCACGGATCCTACACCCACGTTTCCTATTGGAATTCTGCAAAAGTCTCTAAAGGGTGAGTGGAAATAAATAATATTTAATTAATAAAATAAATATATAGGTATATATTTTATGCGATAAGATACACATTTTTTAAATTCTGATCCTGTTTATTTTTCAATGTAAGAATTTTCTGTATTCTTCAGTTTACATTATTTTTAAAAAGGTATAAACATTTGTAATATCCACATGTCTTTTTTCAGTCTTTAGGAAATGGAAATAAATAATACTTCATTAATAAAATAAATATTTTATGCGATAAGATACATTTTTATTTTAATACACATTTTTTAAATTTTGAGTCTAAAAATACTGTAACCTTTTAAACCAAATCTGTTTATTTTTCAATGTAAGAAGTTTCTGTATCCCTAAGCTTACATTATTTTTAAAGAGGTATAAATATTTGTAATATCTACATGTTTTTTTCAATCTTTAGAACTTTTCTTAATTTTAAATCATTTTTATTCAAGTATCTTATGTATTTTTCCAAGTTCTCTAACTCTTCTCTTTGCTTTCCAGTGGTCACCGAGCCACCCAATGGTCTCAAGCTGAATCTGCGCTCCACGTACTTCAAAGTGCGTCAGGAGCGCCTCGAGAGCTGCTCGCATGTGGCTTTCCGACCGCTGGTCTATGTGCTGGCCTTCTTCCACGCCGTCGTCCAAGTAAGTGAGCCCGTTCTAAGTGAGCCGTAGATATCGCTATTTACAGACGGAGCCCAGCTGGTCGAGTGTGTGGAGTTGTTTATTTATTAATCTCTTAGTTTCTAGCAGCTGAAAGCTTTTCAGAGTGAAGTTGCACAATTGATGGAGCAGCAGCAACAGCAGTTGCAGCAAATTGATATTGATCGTCCAGTTGGAGGCACTTCGATTAATTTGTGTAACCTTTTTGCCATCCGCAGGAGCGTCGCAAGTACGACAAGCTGGGCTGGAATATAGCGTACGATTTCAACGACACGGACTTCGAGGTGTGCACCGAAATCCTGCGCACCTACCTAACCCGCTGTGGCACCGGGAAAATACCGTGGAACAGTTTGAAATACCTAATTGGCGAGGTGATGTATGGAGGACGGGTCATCGATGACTTTGACCGGCGCATAACCAACTGCTACATGAACGAGTATATGGGTGATTTCCTCTTTGATGAGTTCAAGGTATTCCACTTTTACGAGGACGAGAACGTGGACTATTGCCTGCCGGAAGAGGAGACCATCCTGAAAGAGGACTATATAGGTGGGTAGTGGGCTATCCCAAGAGCTATCCCTGAGCTATTTACATATATAATGCATTGATAACAGCGCACATCGACAAACTGCCGCTGGTCAACAAGCCGGATGTATTTGGTTTGCATCCGAACGCGGAAATCGGTTATTACACAATGGCGGCACGCAACATTTGGAACAGTTTGATTGAGCTGCAGCCGCAGACGGGTGAGTGGTGGTTGGTTTTGGTCGGATCCCATAGAATCCCATGCAATATTTAACCGTCATACACCCGCGGGCCAATTTGCTCGAGAGATAGCATCACCGCACAGAAAAACCCACATATTACCCTGGTTATCACACGCACTGGCTGCCCAATCCGCTGATAATTCGAATCGGAATTGGAATCGGAAAAAAGTAATGATAATAATGTAATATAGATATGAGCCACCCGTGGCAAACGGGCAAAATGGTAAATGGTTCAATTTGCATGCAACGTGTGCCAATTGTCAGCCGTTTATTACATTTTATCTTGTTGATTTTCATTCCGGCACACTCTCTCTGCTTCTGCTATGCTATGTTGTATTTTTGGCATGTTGAATTTTTAATTTAATTTAATTAATTAGTTGCGGTTTTGCAATTAACTTTATTGCATGCGCCATTATTGCACGGCGCACAACAGCAATGCACACATTAAAAATTAAAATAGAACCACACACGTAGCCCACATGGGTCGGGTCAGATTGGAGGGCAGTACAGGCATACACATATATCCTATATATATATCCTCATTCCCATTCCCATTGGCATTCATTCACTTTCATCGGATTGCCGCAAATCGCAGCGAATCGAGTTCAAACCTCACCGCACCAACCGCCATCAGAAGTACCAAAAAATGGTGAAAACGTCACACAAAAGTCGATAATTTTGCGTTACGGGCTTAAACGTGTTAAAACCGCCATCAGAGTGCACTTTCCATGCCACGCCCCCCCCCCCCAAACTTCCACCCACCCACTCCCAATCCCATTCACAATCATGCATATTTATATATGTGTGGCCTTGTAAATAATTGTATATACAATTTGGAATACTTTTTTAAATATATTCGCACACATGAAGTGACCAAGTGGACACCACCGACCGAAGTCAATCCTCATGGTAAAGTATTCAGCGTAAACAGAAAAGCCACCCCACCGTCGACCATTTAGTGTAAATAAAAATAATAATAAGAACAAATATTTCCACTGATTAAAAATCGAGTTTAACCATTTTATTTCAATTCATCGAGATGCGCACCAAGATACGGTCATGCAAAAAGGTTCAGCTGCAGGGAACTTTTAAAGAGCTACCAATTATTTTAATATGAAAATTTTACTATTCTACCTCTAGGGAAATTGACAGAAATTTATATAAGCAATATGATTTGTAATTTTTTACAGATTTGTAATGTTATTCAAGCAACACGCGAATTCTTTAGAACAAAAAGAGATAAAGAAGGGTAATAATGTCAGGATAATATTAGTTTTAAATAACGTTTCTGGGGTTTCATTTTCTTAAAACAGAAAATGCTCTACATTCAATAAGCTCGACATCTCATCGAGTAGCTCCCTGAAAAATTCTGCTAATTTGCATATTCATGAGCTTTAGTATTTGCTAATTGACACTTTAACAAAAAATAAAGCAGGGAACGAAAAAATTCTATTTGGATGCCAGATAAAGGGGAAAATTAATAAAATCAACAGAAATAAAGGGAAGGACACGGGTGTAAAAAAGGCAAGTGGAAAAACCGCAGGCTCTGCATATATTACTGCGGCATTTTCCTTGCCTTTCGGCTGACACCTGCCACCTGCCAGCACCACAATCCCCCACTGACGTTGCTCCTTTTATATTTTTTCGGGTGCAACCAGGTGAGGGAACTGGAGGCATCAGCCGCGACGACTTCATCGACTCGGTTGCAGCGGGAATACTAAAGAAATTACCTCCCGCCTTCGAGACATGGCGCATCCGCAAACAGATCCAGATGAGCCTGTCACCCACCGGTGTGGTCCTGCTCCAGGAGCTGGACCGCTTTAATCTGCTGGTCGTGCGGATCAAGAAGACGCTGGAGCTGCTCCGCAAGGTAATCTAAACTAACTATATACAGAGATATCGGGGGGATTTCCTCTCGAACATGGGCTGTCAATAGAGGCCGCACATAAATCCTTCAGCCTTGTTTTGCATTTCGCATTTGTTTATGCATTTGCCAACTTGGCTGGCGACCAAGCAAACAATGTCCAAATTTGAATGTGGGCGAGGGGATTGGGAAATTCCAATTGAGAGATCCCACCCGAAGCTAAGGCTGCATTTTGTTGCCAAAATAAATTTACAAATGCAAATGAACTCGGGGCGGCGGCGGCGGGCTTTGTCTTGGCCCCGGGATCTGCAGTCACGCCCACACATGTGCCGTTCCGTTCTCCATTGTGCCTTTTAATTTAATTGCATGCTCTCCGCAGGCCATTGCCGGCGAAATCGGCATGGACAATGTGCTGGACAACATTGCCAACTCGTTGTTCAATGGCCTCCTGCCAGCCGCGTGGAGCAAGTTGGCGCCGGCGACATGCAAACAGTTGGCCAGCTGGCTGGAGCATTTGCGGGTGAGTCGAATCCTAGTCCTTCGAACTGGTCCTTTCACTGCCGCTCGCTGCTCATTAATCAGCTAAGCGCAAAATCAATCAAGGTGAGTTCGTGTTCGTGTCCACTAATCAGCCTTTCTATCGTTCGCACAGCTCCGGGCCGTGCAATACAAATACTGGACGCTTTCAGGGGAGCCCCTGGTCATGTGGCTGTCGGGACTGCATATACCGCAGAGTTATCTCACGGCCCTGGTGCAGGTGAGTCTGCATTGTCACGCCGTTGCAGGTGGGGCAACCATGCACTTGAAAATAAATATAACAACTTGGTTCAATGGGAAAAAGTTAATTTCGATTTCAAGAACAATTTTTTCTCAAATAGTAGGAAAAGTCATGTCCAATTCTCTAATAATTTAAACATAACAATTTGGTTATCTGGGAAAAACTTAATCTTGATTTCAAGAACAATTTTTTCTCAATTTATAGAAAAAGTCCTATCCAATTTTCTTTTGTCTGGCTGCTTTTCTTAAGAATTCATACTCTTGAATATTAAATGTTATAGTTATTAATTTTAAAGGATTATTATCAATCTCGAATTAAATATCGATTTACTACGTAATTGCCAAACTTTTTAACTTGGCTTCTGTAGTTCAAGAATATTTTGTTTTCTTATCCTTATTAAAACAGATGTCAAATTCCATATCTTCTTAGTTTCATTGAATTAGTTTCATTACGAAAACCACAATTTCATATTCCTATATATTTGATCAGTTTCAAATTTTCCGAGTGTTGTTTCCCATCCTTTCAGATTGCCTGTCGCCGCAACGCCTGGCCGCTGGATCGTTCCACGCTTTTCACCTACGTAACCAAGTTTGCGGACCCCGACGATGTGGAGGAGCGTCCTGTGACGGTGAGTAAAAGCAATACTTCCTCATCCTACCATTCCTCCTAGAGCCTCCCCGACGTTCTAAATGCAAAACGATGACCCAACTCCATTCTGGTTCAGGGGCTGGCACTAATTTCGTAATTAGGAATTCTGTTTGCATTTTAATCGCTCAACTTTTTGCAGGGCTGCCTGGTGCACGGTCTGTACATCGAGGGCGGGCGCTTTGACTTGGCCGCTAATCAGCTGGCGCGCTCCCATCCCAAGATCCTGGTCGAGGAGCTGGCCATTCTCGCCGTGGAGCCCATCGAGGCGCATCGTCTCAAGCTGCAGGTTGGTGTTGGGGGATTCGGGATTCCGGGTGGCTATGGCGGGTTAGCCAGGATACCCAGGATAGCCAGGATAGCTGCCGTCTGGCAGTGACAAGTACTAATGTGCACTTGTATCTACACATGCCAAGGGGGCGGCGGGGCGTGGCTACGTTGATATTTGTTTAAATGCATCGCACTAAATTACCGCCAGCTTCCGCAAAAACCTCCCAGCCAACTAATGGGGCAACTGTTGTGCTAATTGTTTCCGAGTTTAAATACCGGTCGTTTTTGGGGAAGTGAAAGAGGCGATGCTTTAAATGGGGGAGACCATGAACTTGGTTCTTAAAATGCGTCAACCTTTACTAATATCTTGTTCGATTTCTTTTCCTAGAATACTTACCTTGCCCCGGTTTATACGACTTCGCTGCGCAGAAATGCCATGGGCGTGGGCCTGGTCTTTGAGGCCAATTTGGCCACCTCCGAGGATCTGAGTCACTGGATTCTACAGGGCGTCTGTCTAACCCTAAATACAGACACCTAAGACTTTTCATTTACTTGAAGACTGAACATTAATTCATAGTATTTCATTTTAATAGAATTATTTGTAACACATTCCAGTACTTCCAAAAACATCGTAAAAATATATGTTCACAAAAAAGTTGTAAATAAAACCATTTCATTAGTCACCTTAAAAACATAAGTCTCAAGAATATCACTTAGGTTACAAAATATATATATTTTTTAAAATTGTTGTAATACTATTTAAAACAAGATAGTCAAAAATAAATTTTTATATATTAGAACGACAATCGATTAAGAATTTTTTCACGAACTCAACGCCGTAGAACAACAAATATTCGGTCAATTTGTTGTATTCTTCTGAAGAACATACTGCTTCTTGTAGTTTAAAATTAAGATTAAACAAATTAATTAAATTTTCAAAAAGTAACCAACAAAATTAGATCTTCAACATCCTTACCGTCTTTACCATTACCCCGTTAAAAGTTAAAAGACTGTCATTCTATTAGAATTGATAAATATTTATCGAATGGATTTTACTAAGCCAAATAAATCTATGTTTACAGCTCTGTAGTGGCAATGGAGTTTAATATTAAGTACGTAGGTTGCTAGTGCCTGTCAATAACGTGATTTGTGCCTGAACCCTCGGATGATATGCCGCCGCTCCTCCGCCTGGCATTACCTGCGCCGCCAGCATCCGAAACAGCCCTTGAACTTGTCCAAAATGGTCGTCTTCATGGAGGGCAGCAGGAGCTCGAGATTCTGGGTGCCAGCACTGTCGTCCGACTCCAGATCCGAGTCAATGGTCATTTCCTGTATGCTGAAGGTATCAGTCAGTTCGTGGTTCTGCTGCCGTCGCTTGGACCGCTTCAGTTGGGCCGGAAAGAAGGAGATCTCCTCGGCCTCATCGCTGCTCTCGGATTTGTAGTCCACCAGGGGCTTGTGTTCCGGTTCGCCAGGAATGGGAAGTCGATTGATCGGTATCAGAGTGGACGATTGCGTCTTGGTGGCCTATGTAATAGGTTTATATATTATAGATATCTTGTTGTATTAAGTGGAGACAAGAACCCACCTGCTCCTCCTGAAACTGAGTGTAATTCCGCCGGGCACGCTCGACCTTCAGCTCCAGTTTGCGCTGCAGTATGCGGCAGGTGTTGGGTGGCTCATGGCCTCGACCGCCTCCTCCGGTCGCTTCCTCCTCTTCATCGATTTCTATGGTCGTGGGGGCATAAACCTTGCCGGCACCCCTGAATGCCACCTCAAACTCCAGATCCGACATATGTTTGGGTGCTCCGCTGGCCGTTTTCTGCAGTGACGTTAGCCATTTGTGGAAAATTGCATTTCCTTCTCTCTCAGCTGTTGTTGTTTTCGATCAAATATACACTTACCAGCAGTCCCGCTGCCCCATCCTCGTATATATTGGATTGCCTGTCCTCGCTGTCGATGCCGCTGTCCTCCATATTTTGTTTAAAAACTGGACTTTGTTTAACTCTCCTAGAAAATGTCTAAAAAAAAGCTGAATTGCACGCGATGGCAATACAAACAAATTTTATTGTCTTCCTCTGTGCGACTCCCAAACTCCAATCAACCCCAAGAGGCCAGAGCGCAGGCTCCAGTGAACAGCTGGTGTGGAAAAGCGGAAAAACTGGGGAAAAATCAATAAACCCTTGCCCGAAAAGCGTTGCCAGATGGGGTGGCTTTTTCAAATCGTGGGTACCATCATCACCATCTTCCTCTCAGAAACCATCTTTTATACATATGCACTCTTTATTATATACTTTTAATTTATTTACAATTATTGGTTTTTAGGCTTAAATGCTTTACTCGTTGCACAGAAATGTCGTAGAAACTAAAAAGTAAAAAAGCAAATTCGTTTTAGCCACTCTTTTTTCCTCGATTGAATTAAAGGTTACTCGTTATCAAGAATAAATAGGAACACAAACATAAAAACACTAATACTATTTGCTTTTGTTCTGGAAGAGTAGAGTAGAATACTACAATAGAGAAGTTCGTTCGTTCTTGATCGGTAGGCTACTATATGTTTGTTTGTTTGCTGGCTATGGCTAAGCAACGGTTAACTTTTTGGTCTCTCTGCTTTTTTGAATGATGTGGTGTGGGATGTTTGAATCCGCGAATGTCGATCCAATTATTCTTGTGTGGTGCGTTTAAGCTCAATTCAATCCGAAAATTAAACAAAATTACTCTGCTCTCTGTGTGGAATTACACCGCATTGGGATGAACTTGGCCCGCCAATGTGCAGGATCGGCAGCAGAACTTGGTGTAGTACGGATTGGCGCAGTATTTGCCCTTGACGATCAGTTTGCAGTTGGCAAAGTACGGATTGTCGACGCACTCGGGCGACACAGGTACAACAGCTGAAAAATGATATCATGTTAAGTAACCTCTTGATTTTTATTTCAAGACTCATCAATTACATTGTATAGACACATTGGCCTCTCCAGTGGCGTAGGTGTACGCATTGCTGGCCCTGCAGGTATACCTGCCCGAATCCTCGGGTGTCACATCACTCAGTACCAGACTATGTGGCTGGGCTGTAAAGTTATTAAAGATTTTGCATTATTATAATAAAATCGCTTTAATTTTTCAAGATAAAATTTTCTTGAAAACAAGGCGAATTTACTCTTAAATAAGATTTTCCAGATAAAACTATTCTCGACTATGTTTTTTGAAACGAAAGTAGAAACCGAGAATTACTCGAGTATAAAAATTAGAGATTGAATCGATCTTGGTTCACTTTTGAGATTGAGATATATATATTGATAATATCAATAGTTCTTATACCACTTACATCTAATTGTAACCCGTCCATTGTTGTAGAGAGGGCTATCGTCCTTGGTCCAGGTGACATTGGGTTCTGGATAGCCCTGTACAGAGCAGCTCATGAGAACATTGGATCCCGGTGCGTAGCTGTTCTTAGGGTCCAGAGCCAGCACGGCATTGACATTAACTGTGAATCAGAGAGGAGGTTCAAGAAGAGGTTATTTCCAAGGACCAAAACATATCCTTAACACGAAGATCAAACACCATGCCATTCCAGCCGAAACATGCAAATGTGCGATACTTACCGATGGGCTCGGGCACGTAGGCCGGTCGTGTGGGTCGGTAGGGATAGGCGGGTCGCTGGGTCACCGGACGGGTGGCCGGATTGAGGATATACTGCAAGTACTGGGCCTCCTCGTGGCTCTGAGCCCGCACCGGACCCACCGCCTTCAGAGTGACGCGCAGCGAAACTGGACGCCGCTGGTTGTACACCTCGCAAGTATAGAGGCCAAGATCCGTCAACTGGATCGAGTTGAAGACCAGCGAGTAGTCTCGCGCCATCACGTTATTCTTGAGACCAAACATCTGTCCGTTGCGCCACCAGCTGACATGCGGTTCCGGGTGACCACCGGCCGGACAGCGAATCACCGCCGGGCGGTTCAATTGGACGATCTGGGTAACGTTCTTGTCCCCGTAAATATAAGCGGGCAGGCTTACGGGTGCTACCGTCACCAAGTTTCAAGCAAGGGATTACGGAAAAGCAGGCAACATGCACAAAGTGTTTAAGATAAAGCAGTTAGATTCATAGCCAACACCAAAATGCAGGAGGTAGTATAAGTTTATCACAATGGGATAGTCGGTTTTCCAACTATAAAGCATTCGTTAATAAAAATAAAACCATTAGAAGGAGATGTAAGTATAGCCAATTTCTCTGCCGCTGCGCTGCTAGCGTTTCGACGCTCACGTACGCTGTGAAGCAGAAAAATGTCACGATTCGTGCTGCTTTAAAGACACCTCCCTCTTCAGGTTTTATGAATTAACTTTTAGGATAGATTCCTTTGAAATCATAGAAACGGATGGATGTATAATTTGGATTAAATTTGGTAACGATGTGTAAGATAACGTATACTGAAGTAAATGTTAAAAACGCACCTGTAACCTGGAGGGCTACCTCTCGTCGCACGGGTTCACCAAGGCCATTGCTGGCCACACAGACGTATGTGCCATCGTCGGTTTGACGCACCTGGACGATGGTCAGATCACCGTTGGAGGTCAGGACATAGCGACCCTTGTTCGTGTTGATCTGTAAAGAACACACAAAGTGATTAGAAAGATTAAAAGGTTAGGGTCACCTCTCCAATAGCTTACCACCAAGTTCTTGAGCGACCAGGTGATATTCGGAGCTGGATTGCCGGTGGCGAAGCAACGCAACACGGCAATACCACCGATGGAAGTCTGGACATCCAGCTCATGAGGTTCCTTGGGTTCCAGGGCAGCGGTGACATCGCCGGGATACGAGACCACTGGGGCCTGAGTACGCGGTGGCTGAGTGGGACGAGCGGGATGGACGCAAAGGTGACCGCAGCCATCGTTGCAGCACTTGTTCTCGCCCAGACAGTCGGCATCGGAGTAGCATTCCCGGGCACAGCCACTGGCATTGGCCGACAGAGCTGGGCACTCGCCTGGTTTGTTGATCAAGCGGCAGACCGGTGCAAACTGGCGATCATCGGAGCTGGACACATCGATGGCGCACTGTTGGCCCTCGGGGCAGCTGTAACCCTCACAAGGATTCTCGCAGACGCACTGCGTGCACTCTGGCTGGGATTGGGCAGCCTCACGACGTACGCCATATGGGCAGCGGAGTTCCCGGCACTCGGAGTCGAAGGTATCACACGGGTTCTGTCCAATAGCGTTGTCTGCATCGTTCGATTCCGCTGTAAGAAATAGCAATTCCAAATCAGTATGTTTTGTCTAGAAAGATAGATCTTCCATTTTCCCAAAACCCGTGCAGTCTTAAGTCTAGTGAAAGTGCACTATGGCAACTACTACAGATGCTACTCTAAATATTCTACTTAAAAAGCGTTTTGGGTGTGTGCAGTTTGCAAAAGGTGCATTCGTGGTGGGTGGTTGGGTGCTCTTTGTGGTGCAAAAGTGCTGCTGTTGGTGGAGAGGGGCTTACGTCGGCATTGGTTCATGCATGCCTCGAAGGATCGGAAGTTGTTCTGGTTGCCGGCACAACCCTGGTAAATGAAGGACACGCAGTTTCCTACCGAATCATCGTAGTACCAACGACGCTCTTGATTCGCACGCCCATTGCAACGGCCCGTCGCCAGAGGCAGCAGGCAGATTTCTACTTGCGCGGAACAGAAGAAGAACCAGTTAGTCTAGGGACTTCGTCGACGACTCCCCCGCAAGTCGAGATCCCACCCTTCGAAATATATATGTTACCTTTGGCCGAACCTACTGCCGGTTCGCGACCGGCTATGCAAACTGTCTGACACTCGTACAGATCGTTGAATCGGTTGCCGGTGCCATCGCAACCGCCGTAGGTGAAGGGCTCGCAGGCCTGACTCTCCGTGTTGAAGAAGTACTTGGTCTGCCAATCGCTGCAGGGACCCGACGTCACTTGCTCATGGCAAACGTCTGACACAAAAGATTATAGCACCTGAAACACAATGCCCCCAGCCCGGCTGCCCGAAACTTACCCACTCCCTTGAACTCGCCGCACTGCCGTTCGCATTGGTCGCGCGTTTCGAAGCGGTTTCCATTGCCTCCGCATCCTGTGTAGGTGAAGGCTGTGCAGGCCATGTTGTCGTTGTCGTAGAACCAGGCGGTGGTGCGCTCGTCGCATTCGCCAGCCTCGGCGGGTAGGGTGCAAACGGAATAGGTCTTAAAAAAAAAAAAAATAAATAAAAAAATATTTTTTTTACTTTTTCTTTGCTTTCTTAAAGTTGAATTACTATTGTAAGATAATCTTCTTTTTTTACCATGAGTGAAAGTGAATTGAGTTTTACATAACACTTATAAATAAACATTTGTTATGTATAAAAAAAAAAGAAAAAAAAAACTTTTAAAACGCATATGAATAAGATATATTCTTACCGGTGCTGGAGGTTGTGGCTCGGGCTCCACTGGACCCTGGCCGCGGCAGAAGCTCAGGCAGGCACTCTCCGACACAAAGTTGTTGCGATTACCACGGCAGCCGCTGAACTCGAACTCGTGACATCCGCCGGTGCGCTCATCGAAGAACCAGCGCCGCGAGAGCTCGTTGCACCGTCCTCGGACCGGTGGCAGGGCACAGGTGGTCTGGGCGTCATTGCACTCGCTCTGGCACTCCTCCTCGGTGGCATAGTTGTTGGCATTACCGCCGCAGCCCGTGTAGGCGAATTCGTCGCACAGACCCTCCTGGCTGTTGTAGAACCAGCGGGTAGCGTTCTCTAAGCAATTACCCGGCGCGGGTGCCAGGAAGCACTTGGCGGTGTCATCCACAGGCTCCTCGGGTTCCGGTTCCGGTTCGCCAAAGCGTGTGTCTATGCTGGGAGAGCAGGTAGCAGAGCACTCCTCCTCGGTGGCAAAGCGGTTATCATTGCCACCACAGCCGCCGTAGTAGAAGGACTGACAGGCACCCTTGGTCTCGTTGTAGTTCCAATTGAGCACCCACTCGCCGCACTGACCTGGATCAGCTGGCTGACTACACTGGGCCACAGCTGGTGGTGCTGGCTGCCTGGGAGGAGCTGGAGTTGTTGGTGGAGTAGGAGCAGGACTGCTGCAACGCCGCTGACAATCGGACTCCGTTTCGAAGCGGTTGCCATTGCCGCCACAACCGCCATAGTAGAATTGATGGCATCCACCAGTCTTCCGATCGAAGTGCCACTTGAGTACCCATTGGTCGCAATCTCCAGGAGCTTGCTCCTCATCGCAAACGTCCTGGGTGCTGGGAGCTGGTCTAGGAGCTGGTCTACGGGTGGTAGTGGTCGGTTCCGGCTTGCGATCGCAACGTGCCAAACAGGACTCCTCGGTGGTGAAGCGGTTCTCATTGCCTCCACAGCCGCCGTAGTAGAACTGGCGACAGGAGAGATCCTTGGTGTCCCAGTACCAGCTGCTAACATAGTTGGCACACTCGCCCACCTCCGCAGGAATCTCACAGATGTCCTTGGCTAATTTTGGGCAAAGGGTACGGAGAAAGTGTCAGTAGGACAAGGTGATTTAGGGGGTTGGATAAAACGGAAAAATCACATTGAAAGCACACAACATTTAAAGCTTACCAACTTGACGGGGGCAGTGGTCCCCGCAGGACTCCAGGGTGGGGAAGTTGTTCTTGTTGCCACCACAACCCGTGTAGTAGAAGGGCACGCAGCGCTTCTCGCTCTCGGAGAAGTGCCACTTGGCCAGCTTTTCACTGCAATCACCGGTTTGCTTAGGAAGCGCACATTGGTCTGGGATTCATAGTGGGATAGTGGAGGTGGTTTGGTGTTTTGGTGGTTGGTGCAGGAGGAGATTCGGTTGCAGGTGTAGATTCAGGAGGTCGGCATAGCAAGTAACAAGCAATCATGCGCATACAGTAAAGTAACCAAGCAGGAGAAGGAAAGTTTGGGAAGAACATACCGTTAACCAGGAGAAACCAAGAGGATCAAGCTTAAAATTACTCATAAACCAAAGCATAACGTTGCATACAACTAATCCCAATACCTTTACCCCATTCGAAATATCGCAAAGTAATAAATCAGATCTCAAACCTTTAAGCACGCCAGGCTGGCGGCAGTTGTAGTTGCAGGCATGTTCCGTCGGATAGTTGTTCCTGTTGCCCTTGCATCCTCCATAGGTGAAGGGTCGGCAGATGTCGGTCTGGTTGTCGTAGTACCAACGCTCAAAGTTTCCGGCACATGGACCACTCTCCACGGGCTGTTCGCAGGTAGCTGGAAAGGGAAGAATTGAGATGGTATAGTAAGATCACATATCAATTATAGGTTTTGCATTCATTATGAGGTGTGATGTCTAAGGACTAAAGAAAGAAAGTGACATCGTATGTGAGTTAGTATATCACTTATCAATTATAGGTATTGTATTCGAAATGAGGTGTGAAGTCTAAGGACTACAGAAAAAAGGATAGTGACATCATATGTGAGTTAGAAGATCACTTATCAATTATAGGTATTGTATTCGAATGAAGGTGTAATGTGATGATAAACTTAAGAAAGAAAGTGACATCATATATAAGTTACTAGATCAAAGTTTTACTTACGAAGATTTTCGCTGGCAGCGCAAGTTCCCTGGCACTGTTCCAGGCTATCGAATCGGTTATTGGTGCCGTAGCAACCGCCGTACTGGAACTCCTCGCATCGATTGCGGTCCGCATCGAAGTACCACTTCTTTTCGGCGCCCCCACAGGGTCCGGCGGTCTTGGGCAGCAGGCAGACATGCTTGCCGCTGTAGTCCTGGCACGTGTCCTTGCACTCGGACTCGCTGTCGAAGCGATTGTCGTTGCCCTCGCAGCCACCGTACCAGAATCGCGCACATCCGCCGTACGAGACATCGAAGAAGTACTTGACACTGAAGTTGGTGCAGTTGCCCGTCTCCTTGGGCAAACTGCAGGCCTTCTGCGGCGGCTGCTGGACATTCTCGCATCCGCCGAACTTCTCGTCCGTCGCCTTGGTGACTCCATCGGGACAGCAGCCGAACTTGCTCTCCACACAGGTGCATCCCTCGCCGTTGGGACCCTTGGCGGCGGTCTTCTCGTCGTCGCAGCACTTGAACTCCGTCTGGGTGCAGTGGCATCCGTGGTGATGGGGTCCCTTGGCGAAGGTGAGTCCGTCGGGACAGCAGCCGAACTGGGTGGTCTCGCACGGGCAGCCCTCGAACTTGGGTCCCTTGGCAGCGGTGATCTTATCGGGACAGCAGCCATGCTGCGTCGTCTCGCAGGCGCATCCCTCCTGGTTGTAGCCCGTTGCCGCCGACTTCTGGTCCGGACAGCAACCGTACGGCGTGTAGTGGCATTCGCAGCCCTCGTTGTTGGGTCCACGGGCGGCCAGGATGTTGTCGGGACAGCAGCCAAACTCACTGTCCAGGCAGCAACCCTCCCTGTTGGGACCATGAGCCGGGGTCTGGGAGTCGGGACAACATCCGTAGCGTTCGCGAGTGCAACCAGAGCAACCCTCGCCATTCGGACCACTGGCAGCGGTCTGACCATCGGGACAGCAACCATTCTCCGACTCCCTGCAGCCCTTGGGTGCCTCCGGTTGACCAGCCGCTGGCTCAGATGTCGTCGAGTCTTCTTCGCCCGAACCCTCGATCTCAATCTCAGTGGTTGACTCCGGCTGCGACTCTTCTGTGGTGGTTGTGGGCGGCACAGTGGTTGTCGCCGGACATCCCTCATCGTCTTCTCCCTCGGCAGCGGTGAATTTATCGGGACAGCAGCCAAACAGGGTCTCTGCACACTGGGACTTGGGACAACCCTTGTGGTTCTTGCCCTTCGCCGGAGACACTCCATCCAGGCAACAACCGAACTTGGTATCGGCACAGGTCTTGGGGGTGGGACAGCCCTCATCGAATGGTCCCTTGGGAGTGGACTTGCCATCCGGACAGCAACCGTACTCGGACTTAGCGCAGGTACTCTTCTTGGGCTTACACTTGCGTGGCTTGCCCTTGCCAACCTCGGACTCAAAGGAGTAGGGAGTACTGGTCTCGGAATCGTCAGTCGTGTCACTGGAGCTCCAGATATCGCTGGTGGTGCTGTCAATATCTGTAGACTCGGTGCTGTCTGTGGATCCCTCAGAGGTGCTTTCGGTAGATCCTTCGGTTGTACTCTCCTCAGTTGGTCCGCTTTCTGTGGTATCACTGGTTCCTCCACTTGCAGTGCTTTCGGTAGAGTCAGTGGAGTCCGTAGACGATGCGTCGGTGGAAGAAACGTCTGTTGAAGAACCATCCGTAGAGGCAGAGCTTTCAGTTGGTTCCGTGGATCCAGAAACGTCGGTGGAAGAGGAGGAGTCTGTGGCAGTGGAGTCCGATGCCGAGCTTGTGGAGCTTTCGTCTTCGACGGTACTTCCTTCAGTGGTCGATGCCTCGCTGGCGCTAGTCTCAGTGCTTTCGGTTGATCCAGAGACATCCGTAGATCCATCAGTAGAGGCATCAGTCGAGTCATCAGTAGAGCTATCCGTAGATCCATCACTAGATTTATCAGTGGAGCTATCAGTAGATCCATCAGTAGATCCATCAGTAGATACATCAGTTGTACCATCAGTGGTTGCATCGGTGGAAGAATCAGTGGAGTCCGAATTGGAAGTGGAAGAGGAACCATCGGTTGAGCTTTCGGTGGATGAAGCGTCAGAGCTCGAGGAAGCGTCAGTGGTTGACGAAACGTCCAAGGTAGAAGACTCTGTGGAATCTGTCGATGATTCAGAGGTGGTTTCCGTTGTTTCATCCGAAGTGGAGTCTGTAGAGTCTGAAGAGACTGTGGAGTCGGACGTGGCATCAGAAGTACTGTCCGAGGTACTTTCCGTTGAGCTGGATACTCCATCAGTTGTGGTATCACTAGAGTCCGATACGAACGATGACGAAGCATCTGTGGAAGATTCACTAACGTCTGATGATTTGTCAGAAGAGTCGGTAGAATCATCGGTAGATGCCGAAGCTTCCGTAGAACCTTCGGATGTCGAGTCAGCGGTAACAGTAGAGTCAGAAGCATCTGAAGAGCCCGAAACATCGGTTGATTCCGAGGCGGATGCTTCCGTTGAGCTTGATACATCGGTAGAATCACCAGAGACACCTGTAGAATCTGTAGATTGGTCTGTGGAATCGCTGGAATCAGAGACCGAAGATGATGAGGCTTCGGTAGTGGCATCGCTAGAGTCACTGGAGCTGGAATCGCTCGAATCGCTGGAACTGGAGTCACTAGAGCTAGAATCGGTTGAGCTGGACAAATCAGTGGAAGCCTCAGAAGTGTCTTCGTCATCACCACTTCCCTCCGTGGAGATTCCGCTGTCGGTAGTTGAGTCCGACTCATCTCCCGATCCCTCAACAGTGGTTCCAGTCGAGTCGGACTCATCGAAGGCCGTCGGACTGTCACTTTGCATAAGTTCTTCGGCTTCAGGTGTAGTTTCCGTGCTTGGTTTACCCTCCAAATCGATAACAGCGGCGCTCTTTTCAACTTGCGGCAAGGTGTCGTCGACCAACTCAATGCCGTCTTCATCACAATCCTCCTCGTCATCCTCGATGGGTTTGTCGGTGCTGGTTAAGGGCAGTATCTCATCCTCGGTGCAGGCTTCAGGATTACACTTCTCGGACAGGGGTTCGACCTTCGATTCATCGCAGTTTACGGACTTGGTTCCATTGGACAGGCAGAGGACTTCACGAACTCGCTCGCCACCTCCACATGGTTTGCTACACTGTCCCCAAGGACCAGTGAACCATTCACCAGGACACTCCTTCTCCTCACCCTCGCACTCCTGTTCCGATTCCGGTTTCGCATCCTTGTTGCACTTGGAGTCATCACTAGCTGGACTCACTGTCTTGCCATCAAACTCGCCGCAGATGACAATGCGAGACTTGACACCCTTTCCACAGGGAGCTGAACACTTGCTCCACTCCGAGGAGAACCACTGGGCCTCGCACTTGGGCGACTTGCATGGTCGAGATAGAGTGGGCACCTCCGGTTCGCAGAACTCCTCCGGATAGACCTTACCCTCCTTGTTGCCACAGATGGCCGTACGGGTCTCGGTGTTCTGACCACACGCATTGCACTGCAAGACAATGGAACTTAGCATGTGAAAGCCGGATAAGAAACTTCTCTACTTACGCCGCTCCACTGAGAGATAATCCAATCAACGCCCTCACAAGGCGTCAGTAGGCAGGACTTTTCCGCCTCCGGCTTCTCCTCCACGCAATCCTCCTCCGGCAGGACTCGCTTACGTCCGTTCTCCTTGATGTAGCAGGTCACCTTGCGCGTCTGCTTTCCCTCACCGCAGAGCTTATCACACGGCGTCCAGGGTCCCAGATGATACTTGGGGCAGTTCTTGACATCGCGATTGCACTCCTGTTGGGTCGCCGGCTTGTTGCCCACCTCCTTGAGGCAAACGGCATCTTCTTCGACCGTGTGCTCACTGAAATAGGAATAGAAACTTAGGTTTAACTACAAGATATGTAGATATGATGACTTACCCCGAGGAGGAGATCCTCTCGCAGGTAATGCTCCTGTTCTGGAAGCCATCCGATCCGCAGCCCTTGGAGCACTTGGACCACTCACCCTCCACCCAGTGGGGGGCACATGGTTCCGTGCCGCAGGCCTGTTCCTCCACCGGCTTGGTTTTCTCATCGCAGAGCGAGGGATTGACCTCCGCCAAGGTGATGCGGTTGTTGCACGTAACCACTCGACTCTGAGTTCCACCGCCGCAGGAGGCACTGCAGGCACTGAACTGGTGGTGCGTCCACGTGTGCGTATCCTGTTGCGCGTGACTCAGGGACTCGGGGATGCTGTACTCGTAGTCCAGGCTGATGTTCTTCTCCTGCACCAGCATCACAATGAAGAGGCTCTCGGAAATGGGGCCGCTGCAGGTCAGCTGATCGGGGGCCGCAAAGCCCATGGGTTTGCGCTGGTAGTTCCACCACGAGTTGGCGAAGAACATGGGCCGCGGGAAATCGATGCGCCAGTCGCCGTTCAGATAGTAGTGTCCACTGTGGTTCCGGCAGGCCAGATAATTGCTGGATGGCTGGGTCTCCTCGATGCGAATGTTGGTGGCACCCTCGGGCAGGAGCAGCAGGTCATTGTAGCCCGCGGCCAGGTCCTTGGTCGAGATGGTGTTGCGAATCGTCTTGCAGGTGCTGCCATCGCCGCCGCACTTGCGGCACTTGTCCTCCTTGGCATCGCTGCCCAGCATCATGTCACAGCCCACGGGCATGCACTGCCCATTGACGCAGACGTCGAGACCCTGGTCATTGCACCGCGTTCCGTCGATCACCGTCTCCCGCTGGCGATAGTAGAAGCGCTCGCCCTTGGGCATGCAGTTCAGCTCGCAGGGATTGGGCGCCTTCACGTACGGCACCCACTCGTGGAAGACGCCATCGAAGTTCTGCCTGTCGAAGCGGGAGCACTGCTGCGCCCGGAAATCGGGCTCATCCTCCGGACAGTCTTGTGTGTTGCAGGAGAAGTAGCGACGACTGCCTCCACTGCAGACTGCTTCGCCACGGTCACTGCGGAATATTGGAAATCGTTTAATTTATGAGGGGGTTTTACTGAAAACTACAGAGATTGAAACACTTAAGGAAATCATGTACCATAAACGATACCCCAATATTTAGTGAAGCCAAGAACATAATTCCAACCGCGAATTCTTCAGTCAAAAACTTAAATAAATATATGTTTTATATCTCAGATCCAAAATATTGCTTTAATTAATTTCAAATCATAATTTTCTTAAATTTAGATTGAAAAACTTAAGTATATCCTATACCATATACAATACCCCAATGTTTAGTGAAGCCAAGAAAATAATTCCAACCGCGAACTCTTCAGTCAACAATTTGAATGAGTATAGTTTTTATACCCTTGTAGAGGGTATTATAATTTCAGTCAGATGTTTGCAACGCAGTGAAGGAGACGTTTCCGACCACATAAAGTATATATATTCTTGATCAGCACCAATAGCCGAGTCTATCTAGCCATGTCCGTCTGTCCGTCTGTCCGTCTGTCCGTCTGTCCGTCTGTCCGTCTGTCCGTCTGTCCGTTTCTATGCGAACTAGTCTCTCAGTTTTAAAGCTATCGCGATGAAACTTTCCCGAAGGTTTTCTTTCTATTGCAGGTAGTACATATGTCGGAGCCAGCCGGATCGGACCACTATATCTTAAGGCTCCCAATCAAATATAAGAAAATTCATTGTAACTTTGTAGGAAGTAGGCGTTTTGATTCTTGACTACTTAAAAACAAAATTGAAATAAATCGAAACGCTGAATCTGGAATCCCTGGAACTGCACCGAGTGAGTATTCTTTTATCTACAAGGGTATATAAGCTTCGGCTGGCCGAAGGTAGCTTCCTTTCTTGTTAAGATATAAAAGATATATAAGATACGAAATATAGCTTTAATTAAATTCGAATCATTATTATCTTAAATTTTGATCGAAAAACTTAAGGTTATCATATACCAAATGAAATACCGCAATATTTAGTGAAGCCAAGAAAGTAATTCCATGAGCGAATATAGTTTTTATATTTTAAGATTGAAAAACTTAAGGATGTACCATAATAAAACCGCATTATTTATATAGTAGTAGTGAAGCCAAGAAAATAATTCCAACCGCGAATTCTTTAGTCAAAAATTTGAGTGAATAAATATTTTATATCTAAAATTTAACTAATCCATTGAAGTATTATCTGTAACTTTGGCATACTCACTCTCTGCGCAGACACTCTCTCGTCTGGTAGGACACTCCACCGCCGCAGGTTCTCGAACAGTCGGAGGGCGAGCTCCAGGGTGTCCACTCATCGGGATCCTCACCTTCACCGCCAGGCGTCACGGAGCTCTCCGGCAAGTACATATTCGCCCCATATTGTCTTTTTTGTCTTAGTCCAGGCTGGAACACGCATTCAAAAAGAAAGGATTAGCTTCCTTCAGGACCCCTTTATCCCCGGGCATACTTACGAATCTGCTTTGGGAATCATGGATGCCGGCCAGAACAATGAATGCTACCAAGGCAGTTGAGCTGCAAGTGGAAAGCGGAGAAGGCAATTTAATTAAACGCCACCCAGACATAACCTCGCCCAACTTGGCCATTCATTAAAATCATGGGACCGAAGTCACGTGTTGACTTGTTGCACATACACCATACGTATATATTTGTTGACTCTGCCGCAGTGGACACACGAGTGCTCAGACTCATTAGAGTTGGAGGAAGCAACAGTTTGGATTTGGATGATGATGGGATGGCGGGGGAGGAAGCAACTTGGACTGGGACTTTCTCAAAAGACCCTACCCCGCGGGTCCAGCGAAGGGGCACAAACACAGAGACTTTTGTGGGGCTTCGCGGCGACAACATGATGAACTTGTTTATGCTCACTGGCCAGAGCAAGCAAACATTGAACTTGTTTTTGCGGCTAAAACTGTGGAACCCTCCCTCCCTTTCTAGAGATTGCGAACAAAAAAAAGAATGGGACTTGGTCAAGTAAAATTTGCAATTTCTTCGGTAACAATTTTTTATTATGCGCCGCGTGCACAGACCATAAATATGCAATGCCACATAAACAAGACATAATTTAGCAGGGCTTCCTGCCGATTTGCCAAAAAGGAGAGAAACGAAAATCCAAGCAAATAATAAGTAGCGAAGGAAAGCCAGGGAGAATATACGATTATGCCGCAGACAATTCGACGCCGACTTCTTAGCTTCCCAAGGAGGATGTCGTTTTGCCCCGAGGACAAGTTGCGTGAATATGTCAAAGGCGTTCAATGTTGCAGGCAACGTTTGCTGCACTGCATCTCTGCTCCCTGATTTTTTGTTGGGGGATTGCCAATTTAATTTCTGACTGCTGCTACTGCTGCTGCGTGCGGGGAGCCTCTCGGTTTGTTCCGCTTGGACGCCTCCGACTGATGGCGCTCGCTCTCTTGCCTCCTGACTTTCCAGAGGACATCGCCGACATCCTTGGGGTCCTTGGAACGCAGCAGGCGTGCTGCTTATGACAGCCGCAGGGCAGGATGGGCGCCAAGTGTGGCCATAATTTTTATGCTTCTGTGTTGGCATTTTAATGCAATTTGAGCGCATTTCCCTTTTGAAACCAATGCCAGGACACCTATTGCTTTGGCAAGGACAACGGCAAGCGGCGAACGGCGAAATGGCAAACCGACAACGGCACACATTTCACAGTCCATTGAGCAGGGGCGGCGTCACCCAGTCGACCAGTCGCCCATTTGACTCCTTCTCAAGGCATTGCGTCATGCAAACAGGATACCAGGACACCCAGGACCCCAGCTCGATTAATTGGGCAGTTCCAAGGAAACCGCTGAGGCGGCAAAAACCGCAAGAGCGCACTTCTTGATTTCGTTTTCATATGCGAACGCGACGACTGCTGATTACGCAAAATCCTCCTCCTCCTCGGACTAGATATATTTTTTGGGGCTTGGAGGATTGGGGGAATCACATTGTTATTGCCACATGCGGCGGATGCCACGTGACACTAGCACAAACAGTTGGCACAATCGTCAAATAAGTTACACATGTCATGTGAACCACCGAAACGCCGCCAACGCCACAGAAATGTCAAACAAAAAAGCGGGCAGAGGAAATGCTAAATTCGGTTGGAAGTTTACAATAATACAGTGTGGCTTTCAGACCAGATTAACATCGGGAGCCACACAATCCCTGACCCCATTTAATTTTGTGACCAGGATTTAGTTGGCTGGCAGGCGAGATCAAAGCTGGAGGCCAATTATCGGGTCGCCAAAAGCATCTTTCTGGCCTTTTTGGCCAGAAATGGTCCCACAATAGCCGCCCATTGTTCATTGTACTCGCAGCATTACAAAGGCATTTGGGTTTGCCGCTCTAAGCGGTGATAATATTTTAAGGGGCCATGGCAATCACTGCATAAATGCAGTGAGAGTGCAGGGAAATGCTTCCTTTTTAGCTTTTTAGCTCCACAATTGCTGGCATTATCAGTCAACTTGAACAACTGCAGCGTGGATGCAAATCCAGGGCACAGATACACATATATACACTCTCCAGACCGAGTAGCTAAAAGATATTCACTCCATGCATCCATGCCAGATTTATATTCATGATCGTATAATTGCTTTCAAATGCCTTCCACGCAACAAGTGCATTCTGGGGTAAAATGCGTATACACAAAGAGAAATATATATGTACTTCATAATGGTGAATTAAAATCGGGAGCTTCTTTCCTTAACTTCAATATTAATATTATTTCAAAAAAAAGAGCTCCAAATAAATTTAGATAATGTCAAGTTAGTATAAAGATAAAAATTTGTATATCGTTTGAAAAATCCAAAAAAAAATTAAAATGTTAGATCTAATATTGGAAAATATTATTTTGATCGAAGAAATCAATTTTAAGTTTCGAATAGCTTAAAATGTTACCCTTAAAGGGATAAAATTAATATTCTAAAGTTTGTAACGATTTTATTTTTTAAATAATTTTTAATTTTGTTTTCTGTGTGTGGGAGTGTGATTTTCAACAAAGTATTTCAAGAATGCACGTACTCCAAAAAAATAATATTTTTGTTGTGTAAAATGTTGCAACGACCATCGTAAATTAAGCGCCTGCTAATGAGCCGTTACTACAACATCAACATTATCAGCGGCACTTGCTCCACAAGTGCGTGCACTTAGCCGCCAAACTCAAGACCGGCAACAAATTACGGCTAAACAAAACGGAATCCAAAGATATCGGAACAGAAATATAATGTGGCGAGTCGAAATCCAAACAATTGCCGCAGGAACACAAATAAATTCTGACCAGATTTCACACCTGACCATTGAGAACTGACGTGCGATTTGTTTACATGACTCATCCGCGAGGTCGAGTAAGTAGAATTCCCCGACTTCTACAGCAACCACCACCCACTTGTAACATAGAATTCGATTCGATTCTTTCCCATGCCAATTGATCAAGGCAACTGCAGAGCCACAGAGGAGTTGCGTCCATCAAGTTAATCAAATGGCGGGGCATGCAATATTTGAGCTGCATCCATGAGGATTCCCATTCCGATTCCCATTCCACAGCTGCCTCTGCAGATCCCGAACCCGGGGCCCTTTGATGAAGATGGAATGCCCATGGCCCCCAGTTTGCCAGCTGCAACCGTTTGACTTCTGCTGGCCCCTTTCGCTTTTTTATGTTGATTGTGAGGAACGAAAGGAATTTGATGTTGCAGGCAGACATCTGATTTAATTGCAGCAAACTGAAAGTGCAGCTAAATGCAACCTCCCTACACAGAGAGAAATGATTGTAAGAAATAATGAAATTCTTGATGATTTATGATAAGGTTTTGAAAAGATATCAATCAAAATACTTGACTATTGAAAAATTCAAAATATTATTCTTTAGTACCTATATAAAATATATTTTATTTATTCAATTTAATTATTTTTCGTACCAATTTAAAACGGAAATTTAAATTGGACTGGCAAACATTTTAAGGAATAAAAAAAATATTTGGAATAATTAAAAATAATTACCTTCTTGGTTATTTATGTAGTCAAAACATTTGAATAGTGCAACTCATTATCTTTCAAACACCAAACTCAAAATAGTTTTCCGATATTTTTTAGCGGAGTAATAAACGATTTAAGGAAAAAAACTTTGTTTTTTTATTTTATTTTAATATTTTAAGAATAGGGCTTCTTTTTCTATGCACTTGAGGCCTATTAAATCTTTCGCTTTATCGGATTCTGATCAACTTAGTCAGTAAGTCCTAATCAGCTTCGTTAGTGCGTTTTATTTGGCCGCAAAATGCCAGGTAGCAATTATGCACTGGGACTCAAATCCAGCTCATTAGTCGGAAGGATGCGTGCGGATGTGTGACACCCGTTTGTTCAAATACAATTACATAGTCATACAATTATCGCAAGACAAGCACAGAGGGAGAGAGAGAGGGAGACTAATGCAAAACGCCAAATTGTGGCTGAGGTGTGGCCAGGTAAATGCTCATGTTGCCGGGTGATGATGCTCATGCCGAAGCTCTGATGATGATGATGGCTCTATGAAGAAGATGCGGGCTGGGTGCGGGGGCAGAAAGCTGGTGGAACGACGACATTTGTTGCAACGGAAGTAAATGTTTGCATTGTTGAAATTTTAATTGCATTTGCATAAAGTAACGCACACAGCAGAGGAAGAGTCGGAGAGTTGGAGATGGAGCAACATCCTCCGTTTGCCGGGGAATGGGATTTCTAGCTGCCATTTTGACTGGCAGCCAAACACTTGCACAGCCTGGCCAAGCAATTATCAATTTCGAAATTAATTTAACTTAATTGAGTAGTGAAAATAATAAACATACGCCTTTTGCCCCGAGTGTTTACGAAATGCAGACATTGCAGTGCTGCTGCTGCTGCTGGAGATTATGCAACATTCTACCAATTTCCAACGATGCCTACAAAGTTGCATTTGTGTGTGTTTGTTCCAGGGGGCTAAAAGGCACAACAAAGTTTGCCCAAATGCCTAATGAAATATTTGCCACGCGTTTGGCCAAATGAGCAGAGCAAATGAGCAAACAGAATGCACATTTGAGACCAGAGTCTCCGAAACAAAAAAAAGGGAAAGAGATTTCACTATGCGTTTCACTTGGCCAACTTACTGACCCATAAATTTCACTTGGCTGTCAACGGCGGCAGCTAAATGTTCGGCTGGTAAACAAATTTTTATGGCCTACGTTGCAAGAAGGCCTCCTCAAGAGAATCAACAGTGCTGTGCAGCTAATTAGAGGCATCATAATGCCGCTGTCGCGACTTCCCAGCCTCAAAGAGACCCCCTCTTCCGCCCGCACAAACATTGGCAATTTTCTATTTGCCCAACTCATTCGGTTCGAGATTGCAACAAGCTGCTTGACTTCACTTATGGCTAATAGCACTCAAAGAGGGTGGCCCAGTGAAACATCCACTTTTGCACCCTTTTTGAACTTTGGCCCCTCCCAAACAGTGGGGGATTATTAATCAGCTCTCTGTGTAAACATTTTAGCGCCAACTTGTTATAAAAAACAGAAAGAAGTGGGGGAAATCGAAAATAGTGCTCACAGGATGCCAAATGAGCTGGCATATTTCAGCACTTAATTAGCGTCGAACTAAAGGTACATAAAAAACACAGAAAAGTAAATAAAACTAGCTGAATTTTTCATTTTCAACAAATGAGAACTATTTTGGGAAATGCTATTTTTTATAGAATTATCCCATAACTTTTAGAATTCCAAAAAAAGTAATAAAATTCCTCATTACTTATAGTAAAATACAAAATATATCTGTCTTAATTTTCAGCAACCTGTTCTTGGGAAGAATTCGAAAATAAACAATGACCAACTCCCGAAGCTTGACGCAAACGAATTTCAGTTATTTATAATAGCCTTCAAATCGAATTGGTAACCCAGGCAATTGGCTTAAATGCTATCATGTCAGCAACTACCTGACGGATAAAATGTGGAGCAGACATTGATTTATGGCGCAATTACGGATTCGCTTATTGTTTCACCGAAAGTACTTGTCAGTTTTCAGTTTTACTGGTAAGTTTAGTGGGTTCTTTACGGTTTAGGGATTCTCTTCTGCCATTGAGGTATGTATAAAGGTGTATGTATTTAAGGTGTATATAGTAAACAGAAAAAAAATTAGACAAAATACAGTCAAATTAAAAATTTTTTTAAGATCAAGTTATTCTTCTCATTTTGAAATGAAACAAGATTGTAATTATCTTACTTCACATTATTTGATGAAAAAAAATACAAAAATGGGTATTTAATTTTTTTTTTCAAAAAACTGATATGATAAAATGTCTAACTGATATGTTTGAACTATAAATTTGACATTATTGATATGAACTAAGGTATAATTTAACCCTATCTAATGTCAAATGATTTTTCTGTGTACATATCCAGCCATTCGGAAGTCGAAAAGGGCTGCGTCCCTGACCCCCAAAAAAGGGCTATCAATTTGGACTGCATTTCGGTTCATTTGCTGTCATCAAGATGCCCATCACGTTTCCCAAGAACACCCCGGCAAACCGATCGTCGCCTGTCGTCGGCCAAAACATTTTTATGGGTTTTATGTGGTCTTTTTTTTTTGTTCTTTGGTTTTTGGCTGGCGGCGAACACATATATAATTCACTTGTTGCTGCATGCCCCTTTACAGTTTCTGGTTTTATTCACAGGCAGACAGAACTTTTTAGGCACATTTTACTGCATGTGACGCATCGTTTGGCTTTGCCTCCTGCTCGTTGGATCTGCAGAATTTTTGGATATTTCTGCAGTCATGCCACGGTTTTTTTCTCCTTTTCTGTTTTGGTTTCTGTTTAATTTTTTTGTATCTTGTTCGGGCTGTGCCATTTTTGTGGCGGCATATTTTGGGGCATCCTTTTTATCTTCCGCGTTTTCAGGGTGCGATGACCTCCTCGTCTGCGGCTGATCGATCTAAATGTCTGTGTGTTTTCTATATACATAATGATATCCCTGGGTTTTAGCAGGGCAAACATAGCTCAGCTTCCAAGTTATTTGCCACTCACACACATTTGATTTAGCATAATTAAACGCCGCCGAGTCGGCGGTCTTTTGTTAATTAAGCATAAGACATTAAGTCATGGGAAAGCGATGTGCAGATCGTCGCGAAACCATTAACCGTGCCATTGGGGGTCCATCGGAGCATCGGACCCCCAGCACATGTGGCAAATGCAGCGTGCAACATTGCCGCCATGAACTTGGGAGGCAATTGAGGCATGGAATGAGCTGATCCGCAGGATTTTATGCAGCTGATGCAACAACTGCAACAAGGGGGGCGTTTGTTCAACATAATTTGCTGCTCATTTGCCGCATCATTCGATATTCCGAGGAAATCCATCCCAGGCACACATGCCATTTCCGGGCGGGGATTTTACAAAAAAAAAAGTACAGAAAGTGCAGAAAAGCACCCACTTCGCTAGATCAACATTTCGGATTCAGCGGACTCAGCTTTTCTGATTTATTTATAGCTATTAAGGATCAATTATGCAATTCGAGTGTTTGTTTACTCGACTTGTGCATGACTTGCCTAGTTTCTTGGCTTTTTCAAGGCAACTGGCTCGCTGCGTGTATCATTTCGAAAGCATAAATTTGGAAAATTTAGTGTTTATAGTGCGGCCCGCACAGATCACACTCAATAAACAATTTGGCCCAGCAACTATGTGTGTTTCAGATACTTGTTCTTGTTATTCTTGTTGCATCCATTTTCCTGCTCGCCCTGAATTTAGTGTTTTCCGCAGAATATTATACTTGAAACATAACAAACATTTCGGGGCTACAATTTATCAGCATAGGTAAAAAGTCTTAATTTAGATTGGGTTGGGGAATTTTCATTAAACATCCTAATTCCAAAGAAAGAGCCATCGGAATTCTTCTCGGCGTAGAGAGTGGAGATTTCTAGCAGCCTCAACTGGTGTCAAGTTCAAAGACGTCACGAGTCACAAATTTTCGCTTAATGTAATGTATATTTTGGCCACTTAATGGCCACACACAGACGGCCCATGAGATACCCGGTTACTGATTTACCGAGTGCGTTAAAACGTTTAGTTTGTGCCATTAAACTACAGACATATAATGATGGTTACAAGTATGTTGACCCGTTGTTGGGTTCGAGATTATCAGGGTTCGGTTTGCCGAATGATCAGATACCCTACACAGGCATGCTGCTCTCAAGTTGATTCTCAAGAACTTTTCCATTAATTCAGCTAAAGAAAATATTTCGAAAATTTGCTAAGAAAAACTATGGTTTCCTGTGAATTGTGATTACCCCAAAAACCATGTGTCCCCAAACACTGGCCAACATGGGTCATGTGGTGGCCACATTTTTAACGCAGTGCGACCAAAAAACAATGCCGAGTTCTATAGTTTTTCACTGACGTTGACAAAGAGAGATGGGCAGAGATTTTCGCTTTCAAGTGGCTAACGCACAATTTTCGCGAAAACTGAAAAACTGAAAACTTTAAAATGCCTGACGAATGGATGCGCTAACTGCCAGTTGGCCGAGGAACAAGTTTCTGGCCTTTTATGTCGGACGGTGTCGGACTTTATGACTTTGGCCAAAAATAAAACGCACGCAACGCTTGTGGTCAACGACGACGGGCCGCAAAGAACGGCCAGCTTTATAGATATGGAGATTATGGCCAAGATAGGGATGGGATAGGGATGTCCACAGTACAGCATGTGCGTGAGAGCAGCCAAAACCCGTTGGCGAGATCTCTGGAGTCAACTTTGAACTGACCAAGCTGTCTATAGGTACACTTTTCTTTGGGCACTTCAAAGCGCACGCACTTCACCTACGAACGCAACTCTTTGGGATAAATATTTACATTTCCATTTGAAAATTTGATTTGATTTCGTTGCTTTTTTTGGAATCGCACACACACTTATTTTGGGTGAAGAAACAGAAAGACCTGTCGATAGAGTGCAGGTGAGGTAATGGCACAAATTTCTGGGCCAGTGGGTGGAGATGGAGGGCCACCGATCTGTTTGGCTGTTTGAAGTGAAATCGTGCTGCCGGAAATTGAGATGTTAAAAGGGAAATTGATTATGCTTGAAATTAGGCTGGCCGAAATTAGCTAAATAATAAGGGGTATTTTCTGATTTCATTTTATTTATTAAATTTATTTTTAATGAAAAAGGATACCCCGTAATGGCCATAACTTTTAATACAACTTCCCCAGCTTAATTGCTAATGGAAACATTTTCGCCAGGACGCAGGACGCACACACAAACACATTAGTGGGGCTTTGAAAACGCTTTGAAAAATGTTGCAATTTTCATTAACAAACTTCAATTAAGTTGGCAATGTAATTTGGCATGCAAACAAAATGCTGGCCAGGATAATGGCAGTTGCGCGTCGCAGTGTCAACATCGAGGAGCGCCTGTTGCACAGCGAGCACGTTGCCAGGATACGCCCACATCCGCACATGTGGAAGGACAATCGGAAGGAGGATGAGGACTCACTGGGAGAAGGAGCAGCAGCACCCGTGTCAAGTGTTTGCGCATGTAGTTCAAACGGAATTAAAATTCCAATTGACACAGTAATTTGCTGGCAACACAAAGGGAATCAATTTCAGGGATTGCGATGGCACTGCCACATCTCTCGCGTTCGAATGGATGGATAGATGGATACATGTTTGTCGGATGCTTACCACAACCGCCTCGATAAATCCATTTTGTGGCTCCTTGCTGACAGGACAACAGCACAATAGACGTCGCCCCTCACTTTTCGCGTTTTTCACACTATATATATTTTTTCTCTGTTTGTGTATCGTTTCGGAATCGTCTCCTTGTCCTCCTGCTGAAGTGGCTAGCACTCGAAGGAAATGCCACTTGAGTTTTAATTATCTGAAGCACACAGAACTTGTCACTCTTAAGTATCAAAATTTACTCGGCACTTTGCGCCTGCGCATTGCCACAGGACATGGTAAAATAACCGATCGCGAGTACTAAACTATCCTAAGGGTCCAAATCTCCGACTCGATTCGGCACACATCCGCAGGGTTTGACGGCACGCCAGCAACTGATCGACTCGTATGTGAGATCGCTCTAATTCTGTGCCACAGAAGCAAAAGCAAAGCAGCAGTAGCAGAAGCAGCGGATCGGAAGCAAGCAGCACGATATCGTAGCTCTATATAGCTGAGGCTCTATAGCGATAGCGTCCACAAAGGACGGCTTCCGCCCCTTCTAATCTCGGGCTCTCGTACTTCAATGGGTCTCTAGATGCTGCTATATCTTTTCAATGCTCTGTAGAGCTGCTACCCAGTAAGTTTTAAGTATATAAAATTCACTTAGTTTATGATCCTTTGCCAACCGGCCCCCACTAGAGACTAAAGTCGACTGGGGTTTTTGTTTCTTTTCCCCTCTTTTTTTTTGCAGTCTTTGCAGTGTAACAACTGGTTCCCCGGCGTCTCTCGACTCTCACTGATCTTTATGCGTTGCACGTGTGTGAGGAGCGATCCGATGCGATCCGATCTGAACCGAAGTTGCCAAGTGATTTAGTGGCCCTGCCCTCCACATGCTCTTCTCGCACTGCCTGTCAAGATCAACCGGCGGTACTAATGAGCCGCCAACACATGTCGACATCCTTTGGCTTTGGCCACTGATCCTGACTCCTGACTTATCCCCTCCCCTTCCGAAATGCATCTCAATTTCATTCTAATTACCATGGGCCAACACATGTGCTATGTTCTGTGTTTACTCTGATTTTTCGCCCGTTTCACAGACAAATTTAGGCATCCGTTTTGGGCTGTGGGATAAATTGCAGTCTGGCATTGCCAAGAGCGTCATTGATGCTGCATATTAGCTATCCGCAGCATCGATTTCACGAAATTTGATGAGTTCATTCATGAATTTCGTTCGTCCAGAAAAAGTCAGAGCCTGAACGATGATTTCCGCATTCCACACAGCTTGGGTTTCTATATATAGTTCGTGTTCAACATTCAAATCTCAACCAAAACTCAAGTTTCCGCCAAAAAATAGGACTAGCTAGCTGATTAGTGAATTATAATTTAGAAAAGAAGCATGGGCAAAAGTAAGATTCTCACTTGACAATCAGACTTTGACCGAAACCACAGAAAATAAAAAGACTTCCAAAAATGTGAAGAATGAAAGAATAAGTATGACAAATTCCATATTTAAAGGGAATTATCTAGAACAAAAAAAATGTCTAACCCTTGCATGGCAACATACAAATTATGATTTAAAAAACATTATAATCGCTCTGCCTTATCAACATGGTTATGCTTATAATATAGTAAATAGTAACTACAAAGTTAAAGATATGGTTTTCGGTAAAAAATCCTAAATCTGTTTATTCAAGCAGGAAGCTATAAAAAAGTTTAGTTTAGTTTAGTTTAAATAAATCTCAACCGCAAGTTAATTTCCGCCAAAAAATTAAATAGTTCCTACTCGCTGATAATGCGATACATATTTTAAACCCCGAATTAAATGTTGAGAACGTTTAAGGAGCGATTATATAAGTCTTATGCCAATTCTATTTTTACACCCGACCTTATCAACACTTGACCAGGGAAAGTCGCCCTCCAGTTAGCTAATAAGTCGCATAAATCCACATATTATCCACAATTCAAGGCGAACCAGCGACTAGCGATATATGGAACGCGCTTGATATTTTAAAAAAAAATTCGCAAATATAAGTAATTGCTGTGCTTGATATATAAAGCATCCATTCATGAATATAGGACCAAGTTCTAATTGGCATCGCAGCGGAAGCCTGTTATCTGCAAACAGTTGATATGCAGCCACAGCTACGGACACTGCCTTGGTTTGGGTGAACTCCAATTAGCATGGCGATGACCCATTTAGAACAGCTTCCGTAGAACGAGCTAGTCTCCCTTATCGCCGCCCAGTTCCGCTGCCAACACTCAATATCGGTATCCTAAGCGCACCCGAGTATGTGGGTGAAGGGTGGCTGCGGCGGCAGTGGGATCAACAGGAAGTCGGATAGTCGATTGTTTTATATAAACGGTATATAATAGAAAACTATAGATTACAATGGCGATAACAGGGCTCTCGTACAAGCTAGAAACCTGGATCCCAGTCCGTTTGCTGGGCCTCCATGTTCGTGGTGTAGCACTGCAGAATATCTCCAGCTTGTGGCAGCACTTTGGTGTCCTTAAAGCGTAGGCCGCACTCCACGTCCTTCTTAATCGTGTCCACCTCGTTCTTCAGGTGCCGCATGGACTCCAGCGGCCCGTTGTAGACCACTTCACCATCCCGCAGCAATCGGAATTTCTGGGCCTTTTTCAATACTCCCTTGGTGCAGCGACAGCCCGCCACGGGCACTTCCTTTCGCCCCTCGTTGATGAGGAAGTTCTGAAGGACATTGGCCTCGCCCAGCACCTCCTCCACTTCCACGGGCGGCAACTTGCTGCTCAGCTGCTCCTTGAGGTCGTCGATTAGCCGGTAGATGATGTTGTAGCTGCGCACGTTCACTTCTTTGGTTGCCTTCAGCTGAGGTGTCTCCACGGCAAAGGCATAGACGATGGCATCGAAAGCCTTGGCCAGCTCGAGATCGCCCTCGGTCACATTGCCCACGCCATAGTGCACAATGTCCAGGCGGCAGCTCTCGTTGCTGCTGTACGTCTCCAGCACATCGAGAATGGCCTCCACAGAGCCATGAACATCGCCCTTGATGATGACACTGACCCGCGGCTTGCCCTCGTTGTCGTCCACCTGCTTGACCCGTTGGCCACCGCGCATCCTGAAGCGACCGGCTAAACGACGGGCCTCACGCTCCGCCCGGTACTTGGCCTGGTGCTCCTCCTCCTTCTTGCGAATCTCATCGCTGCTCGACTCGATCTTCTCCTTTTGCTCCTCGTGCTCGCGGTACTTCAAGACGGCATGGGCTTTTTTCTACAGGAAAGGAGGGGGGTTATTAGAATGCAAGATAAGAAGCTATTTTATGTAGATCCACCTCCGTTTCCACCTCGAGTATGAGATCACCAGCAAGAGGCAATTCCCGCCAGCCCAGAATTTCAACGGGAGTGCCGGGAGGAGCTTCACTCAAAGGCTGGCCATTGTGATCGAAGAGACCTCTTACTTTAGCATGAGCTAAACCACTTAGCAGCACGGAGCCTTTACGCAGCGTTCCACGCGAAACGATGGCCGTGGAAAGCTTGCCACGGCGAGGATCGGTTTTTGATTCCACGACGATTCCCTCAACCAGACCCGTGGGATCCGATTTGAGGCCCATGAGCGTGGCCTGTGTGCTGACGGCCTCGGCCAAAAGTTGCAGATTGGTGCCTTTGAGGGCAGAGATTGGTATCACTTGGACATCGCCGCCATGCTCCTCGAGAGCCAGGCCCATTTGGGCCAGTTCCCGCTTGCTTTTTTCCTAAAAGAATAATAGGTTTTAAAGGTAATTCTTTTGGAGATTTTTATGAACCTACAATATTAGCCTCTGGCTTGTCGATCTTGTTGAGCGCCACAATAATGGGAACCTGGGCCTCCTTGGCCAGCTGGATGACCTCACGTGTCTGCGCCATAACGCCATCCTCGGCGGCCACCACGAGCACAATGATGTCCGTGGCCACGGCTCCGCGAGCTCTCATCGCGCTGAAGGCGGCATGTCCCGGTGTGTCCAGAAACGTGACTCTTTCGCCGTTCTCCAAGGTGACTGTGAAGGCGCCTATGTGCTGGGTAATCCCACCAGCCTCGCCGGCAGCCACATCGGCACCTCGCAGGGAATCCAGCAGAGTGGTCTTGCCATGATCCACGTGACCCATTACGGTGACAACGGGTGGGCGGGGATGCAGGAGTTCTGGCGGAGCAGGCGGTCTTGGTGCCACATCGCGCTCCTTCTGGTCATCCTCGCTTGCAGCCTCCGGTGTGGCCACCACCCGGGTTTTGGCGCCCAGTTTCTTGGCTATTTCCTGGATGATCTTGAGATCTGCCAGCTTAAAGGCGGGTTCAATGTTGTCGGCGCCCTTGACATACAACATGGCCTCCTGGACATCATCTAGAAGGTGTTAAATCTTTGATTATTTTACCAATTCAATAGATAACCGTGTTTACCCAGTGGTCTTTCCAGTTCCTTGGCCAATTGGGCCACGCTCATGTGCCTCCAGATGTCGGAGGCTCCGCCACCCGCCGTTTGCGCCTTCTTGGGGGAGTACTCTATAATTCTGGGGGATTTCTAAACCAATTAGTGAGTGTGTCCTCTGGAATATCGAGTGGGTTTTTGAATTTTTCAAATTTACCCGGCGACAGTTTGAGAGTGACTGTTTTAGTGCCTCTAAAACCTACCTTCTCCTCTGCTGTTTTCCGGCGTTTCAGGCGTGCAGCGTTCACATGGAATCCCCTTAGAAACGCCGGCGGCTGTGGCAGGGTATTGGCCAGTCGACTTATATTAACAATTCGAAGCATTTTCTAAGCGCGTTTTCCTATTTTTAATTGACTTTAACTTAATTTTTGAGTCGCGTAACAGCTGCAGGCCGATTTCCAATCAGCTGTTAAGAAAAAACGATTAAGAAATCAGTAAAAGTCGATAAAAATAGCTTTTCTGTTTTTTACCCAGCCCTAAAAAAAGAGCTTTTTACCCAACCTGTAATGTAGATGGCGCCTTGAAAAAATATTTGTAAAATAAACGTGTACTTTATGCGCCATCTAGCGGATCGATTGAACAATTGGCGTCATCTGAAATTTGATATTTGTAAAATACTTTAAAATTACTCTACAGGATGTAAATTTACAGCCGCCGAAATCCTCTTGTGATCGATTGTTATATCGATAATTCCGCCAAAATATTAATTTTGTAATCTTATTTAAAAACGGAAACTTTTGTCTGTATCTTGACTTTTTGATTGTGAGCATTCCAGTCGCCAGCTATGATAAAACGGTTTGAAAATTCGCTAAAAAGTTGTCCAAAATCTTGAGCAGTCCATAAAAAGGAGGGGGGGCAGTAAATAGAAGCAATCACGATGTCTCCCAAGTCCGTGCTTAAGGTAATTGCAGCAGTTTGACATTTTACAGTAGAGTTGGTACTGTAAGGGGAGTACTGCAAGTGAGAGCGGATTAAAATAGCAGCACCTCCTCGAAGACGGTCAGAGGGATGATTAGCCGTCAATAAATCATATCCAAAAATTCTGAAATGTGAGCGGCTGTTAAAATGCGTTTCGTTAATTAGCATCACGTCAATTGAATTAGCCGTAAGATAGTGCTCTAACTCGAGATTTTTGCCAGTGACACCATTGGCGTTCCAAAATGATAAACGAATGCCTAAACTAGACATGTCTCCTGATCTTAGACGCATCAGAAGGCGAACTGCCGGTAAACTGGTTCATAAGAAGTTCCATCATTTTCAACATCATTGACATCATCTGGTCAATACGGGAGATAAGTATTTCAAAGCCAGCACTAGGCGGAGGAGGCTCAATCTGCCGCTGCCGCATCCACTGCTATCGGTAATCGCCCTGCTGTTCCACAGCCAAATAATGCCCTTTCAAACACCAGAGTAACGGCGCTGGTTAGGCAGAAGAGATCACTCCGGCGACGCTGGATGCAAACGCGTCATCCACAAGATTTAGCAATATTTAAAAGAGCTGATACTCTATTAAGAAAAGCACTTTATGATGCTAAGTCCGAATTTTTTGTCCGGAAACTTAGTGCTATCGATCCGGATGCTGATCGAGGCTTTGAACTGTGGAAATGCACTCGCGGGCTTAAACGGCAGCCTCTCCAGAAGTTTCCCTTGCTTCGATCGGACGGTACCTGGGCAAATAAAGATGATGAAATAGCTAAGGAATTCGCTGATTCTTTGGAAGAAAGATTTAAGCCTTTTGATTTGGCCACAGATGAAGAGACTGCTATTACAGAAGCCTTTGATGATGTTCCCTCTGGTCTAGCTTCTCAAATTTTACCTATTGAAGCAGAAGAAGTTAAAGACCAAATAAAGCGACTGAAGATGAACAAAGCCCCTGGCCATGACAGCATTGATGGAAAAGTAGTTAAAGCTTTGCCAGTAGCAGCTATTTCGTTCCTTACGCGTATCTTTAATGCTATGATTGTTCTTTCATATTATCCGGAGCAGTGGAAGCATGCGAATGTTGTTATGATCCCCAAGAAAGGCGTCTCTCCCCGCTGTGCAGATTCTTTTCGGCCTATAAGCCTATTGCCAACCTTCTCTAAGATTTTTGAGCGAATCTTACTAAAAAGGCTTTTTAGTGTTCATGTGTTTCAGAATGCAATTCCAAATCATCAGTTTGGTTTCAGGAGTCTGCATAACGCTGCTGAGCAAATGCATCGGGTTGTCAACCATATCCTTAAAGCATTTGAGGCGAAAAAGTATTGTTGCGCAGTATTCCTAGATGTCAAGCAAGCCTTCGATCGAGTCTGGCACTGTGGCTTGCTCTATAAGCTGAAACCCATTCTTCCCCTGACATACTTTGATCTCCTTCGCTCATTTCTAATTGGTAGAACCTTCCAGGTGGATGTTCGAGGATCCAAATCTGCCTCAAGGCCTATTCTTGCTGGAGTCCCTCAAGGAAGTGTGCTGGGTCCTGTCTTGTATACAATATTCACCTCGGACCTTCCGTCGCCCAGAGGCAGGAATGTTTTAACAGCTACCTATGCAGATGACACAGCATTTCTGGCGACAAGTGCTCTGCGAAGAGAGGCGACAGATATGGTGCAGGACATGCTAAATGAGTTTGAGGCCTGGGCGTCGAGGTGGAACATCGCAGTTAATCCTGCCAAGTCTCAGCATGCCACCTTTTCATTGAACAGGCTGAACACTTATCGCCTAACCTTAGACGGGACTCCAATAAAGCACTCGGACACGGTTAAGTACCTTGGGCTCACTCTGGACAGGCGGCTTACCTGGAAGCAGCACATTGTGGCAACCTGCGCTTCAGTAAGGCAAAAAGCGGGGAAAATGAGATGGCTTCTTCGTCCGGGCAGTGGACTATCGATCACGGCGAAAACCCGGCTCTTCAAAGCAACCTTGATGCCTAGTTTACATTGGGGTATACACTTCTGGGGCACTGCCTGTAACACTTCTATAAAAAGAGTTGAATCCTGCCAATCCAAAATTTTAAGACATATGATAAACGCCCCATATTATACAAGAAACACTACTATTTTTCGAGATCTCAAAATTAATCCTGTTTGTAAATCTATCACCAATTCTGCCACTCGCTACAGATCAAGACTCATCTCCCACACAAACAGACTTGCCCTCACACTTTCCAGACCTATGAACAGAAGAAGACTAAAAAGATTGCACCCATCTGACAATTGGATACTTGGACGGCACGCTTGTGGGAAACTCATTCCAGACTTAGACGCCTAGACTGCAACACTGCTAAACTTTTGTAACCAATCTTTTTATTCACTTTTTGTTAATTTTATTTTTTTTTCATGGGTGAAAGTGAATTGAGTTTCACATAACACTCTTCAATAAATATTTGTTATGCATATCAAAAAAAAAAAAAAAAAAATGACTTTTTGAGATTGAAGTGCTTAAATAAGTTAATTGGGTATAGACACAGATATAGGAATAATTAAATTTTATATGGTGCTGAAAGTAAGAAATATATAACTTTAAAGGACCTTTAAGCTCTTCTGTTTTTGGTAGCTCTAAGAACTTGTATACTAAATATAAACGCTCCCAGTAAGGATAAAAAATAATGTATGTACAATTTTTCCTTTGTCATAATTTATTTAAATGGTTTTTAACGAGTCCCTTTAATTCTGCCTCCGCATCCTTTAAATTGCCCTTCTAAGCGGCTGCGTGAGTGTCAATCACAGCCATTGGGGCTGCAAACTCAAACTGGCAGCTAGTTTGGAGGGATTCGTCGGCTCTCGAGGCTCGAGCCCTTCTCGTGACTGACGCTGAATGCCACTTAATTCGGTTTTGAAGCGAGTTGCATGTCAAAATGATTGCTCTTCTGCAAACAGCGCATCTGTGTTTGAATTATGATGGAGCGCGCAAATATTCCAGATGCAAATATTTGCGCAAAACTACACACACACACACGCATGCACATAGTGAGGGCTAACACATACACATGGCTACAGAAGTGACTTGAAGTGCTGGCCAGGAGCTGCACCGTATAGATACAGATACATATACAGGACGCAGGACTCTCGGCTCGGAACTTTGGACTACTAATGGCAAAGCGTGGCAGCGCCAAGCACTTTTGAAAATGTGTAACCGGCACTGACTGACTTTCGCCAGCTGAGGACTGGGGACTAAGGACGAAGGACTACGGACGAAGGACTCGATCCCGGAATCGTTTGGCCGGAGCCAACATTTGTTGGTGGTGCTGCTTGTGCCGTTGCAGACATCCGCTGCCGGAAATACGCTTACAAACGCAACCAGCACGTACAGCTCCTCGCACAGGGTGTCCTTTCCAGGACGACTCGTCCTTCCTATAGGGGTGGTGCGATATCACCTTCTCCGCCTCCCTCCCTTCTCTTTGTTTACTTTGCAGCGCAAGACGACGACGGCAGCGACGCAAAGAACTCAAACAAAATATAACTGTTGGAAGAAGCTGATGCAACGGGCGGAATGAAGGGGCGGATGAAGAGGAGTGTGGGGCACGGAAAAAGTTTACAATTTATCTAGTAAAATGTAATTAGGATCCTGGGTGCAGGCGCCGAGGCACAGCCCCCATCCTTCGCATTCCGGATTTGAGTGCGTGCAACTTTCCTTGCGCTTAGCTTCCCGGCTTAAAGTTGGAGCTACGGAGGATTTAATGCAGGGAGTATAAGCTTAGGAAATAAAGGAAGATGGAAAATTGGGATTACAATTATTGATTAGGGGATATAATGCTTTAAGAAATTGCTCAACTTAAAAAGTATAAATATCTTAAACTTTTAAGACAGCCAAAAAAAATTTAAAAATTAAAATTACAATTGTTCCTTTTACAATACTGTGATTATTTAACTATTTTGTTTAAAACATCAAAATTTTTATCATGGAATAAATCATAAATTCTTAAAAAATGTCTTGCAAAAATGAAATGATATTCTTTCAAAAAAGTTTTTAATAATAAGTATTTTTATTTTTAATTAAGCATTCGATAGATATATTTATACATTTTAAAATGCAATAAAAATCTATGCAAGTTATAAAACTTGTACAACATTTATTAGTATTTTATATTTATGCTTGGATTATCCAACTTCAATTAAGTCATATATTACCTCAAGTAAATATTAATAAATGTTATATCTGAAGCGGTTTGTTTAAGGAAGCAATTCAAGATTGTTTGGACTTTCAGATGTGGACTTTAGTCCCAAAGATAACTGACAAGCAAACATTGGCTTGCTGTTAGCCAAAAATAGTTGGCCACCTCTGTCAGCTAATCCGTTTCGCATTAAAGCTGCACAGAAACCGATGTATTTGCGTTGGTCGCGTCTTA